GCGCCATAAGGATCAACACCCTGTCTATTCCCGCCATCGGCATTAAAATATAGCAAAAATACCCCATTTTCAAACCGCGATTGCTTGTCGATTCGGAGGAGCGATCTAGCGTTTTAAAGAACCAACAGAAAGAGCAAGTCTTCCTGAATTTGATGACGTGTTTTTTTTTACTTTTCTCATTAAAAAAGGTAGTTCGCTCCTGCGTTATTTCAAAGCCATTTTTTTGGCGTGTCCATTGACCCGAAACAAGCATAAATACAATGCGTAATTAGCATAACTAAAAAGCAATATCTATACCAAAAAAATATAAAACTGTTTAATTAGATGTCCAAACAAAACAATTATCATCACATACCTTCGAAAAAACGAGATCGTCAGAGCCAAAAATCGCAATATATTTCAACAACTTTTTCGTTAACGTTTGCCAAAAATCGTAATTGTGAATAATAATGAGACGCAATGCATTGTGGGAAGACCCTCACTCCTCCTCTGGCTGCTTCTTAAACCCCCCAGAACCCCTAGGCCTTTTAGCGTTATAGTGGTAGTTGGCGTCTACTTCCCCCCGAGGCAGTCGGCAGAAAGTGAAAGAGAACTGATTGAGTATATTACCAGGGGACTTGATTCTGTCTTACGCGAATACACGTCTGCTGGTGTATGCATAATGGGAGACTTCAATCAAATGAAACTGAGTAGACTATGCAGAAGATTTAACTTGAAGAAGTCTGTAAAAGCACCGACAAGGGGCACCAGAGTTTTGGACCAAATACAACGAACATGTCAGATTATATAAAGAAGTGGTGCACCTGCCTCCAGTTGGTCGCTCTGACCATCAATGTTTGTTGTATAGTCCCAAAACAATACAAACCGTGAAGCTTTCTACTCGAAAAGTGCGCCTAACGAAACCATGTAACCTAAATGCACTCGGCCTAAAATTAAACCGTGAGGACTGGAAATCAATATTTGAGGCTCGAGATATCAATAACAAAGTTAGTCTTTTTACAAATACTATAATAGACATATTAGATAAAACAATACCTTTAACCACGATACGTACCCATGCGTCTGACAAGCCATGGATGACGGCTTATATCAAAAAAGAGATTAAAGCGCTCGAGGCAAAAAGCCTATACTAATGGAAAAATGACCAAATATAAACAATTGGCTGATAAGATCATTACACTTATCAAGAAAGCTAAAGCAGAATTTTATTCATCTAAGGTTAAAAGCAAACGCAAACACGATGCAGCAAAGTGGCATAGAACGATATCCCAGTTAGCTGGCTTTGAAGGTGACAATCTAAACAACAACTTAATCTCAGACGGCACTCCCGATACAGTGGAAATACTGCAGAATATATTTACTAAACCATGGTCTAAACTTCCTGAAACCATAATCCCTAGTCTTGAAGACGTGGCGTCATCACTGAGGCAAGAAAATCCTCCTACTCCCTCAATTGGACAGGTTAAGACTAAACTCTAAAAAAGCCACCGGGTCCGATGGGATTCCCGCATGGGTGCTTAAACGATACTGTGAAGAACTAGCGCCCATCGTTCATGACATTATTTGCGCCAGTATAAAAGAATGTGAATATCCAACTGCGTATAAACATGCCTTAGTTATCCCAGTTCCGAAGGTCAATCCACCAAGAGATATCGAGAATGACTTTCGCCAGATATCCATCCTTCCCCAAATGGCTAAAGTGCTGGAAAAGCTGCAGCTCAAACTGAACCTTCCCAGTTCACGTATAAATGATAATCAGCTGCATGCCTTTACAAGCAAACGATCACCGTGTCCGCACTCACCAACATCTCGCAGAACTGGTTTAATGCGACTGACAATACGCATAGCGCCAAAAATGGAGTTCATGCACTATTCATAGATTTTCGCAAAGCGTTTGACCTTGTTGACCACGGAATTCTACTTCGTAAGCTCGCAGAAATGAATGTAACCAAAGCCTTTTGGCTATGGACACGTAGTTTTCTGGAAGATAGAAAACAACAGATCAAACTAGCAGGAACCCTATCATCGGTCAAACCTTGTCCTGCAGGAGTCACACAAAGTTCTGTGATGTCCCCAGCTCTTTTTAATATTCACATTAACGATATTGAGAACTCAATCCCAGATGGATTATCCATAAATATATGCAAATAAGCGGATGATTGTACACAGGACGAAGTGGTGTCACAAGGTTCATCCAGCCATATGCAGGAGGCCCTTGAAGCAGTGCAAGAATGGTCTAATAGGAACAAAATGACGATAAATTCGAAGAAAACAAAAGATATGTGGATATGTTTTAACACAGCAATACCGGCACCAGAACCATTGGTCACTGGAAACGAGGCAGTGGAAAGAGTAAATTCTCATAAACTGTTGGATGTCTGGCATCAAAACAATTTGAAATGGAACTGTCATGTTAAGAACATTGTAAGGAAAGCAAATAAACGAATGTTTAGTCTGAGAGAATGCCGTAGAGCGAATCTTCCTCCTGAGGTCGGTATTACATGTTATGAATCCAATATTAGACCTGTTTTAGAATATGCAGCTCCGATATGGGGTGGTTTACCACAATATCTCATTGATGAAATAGAGAGCATTCAAAACAGATGCATCAAAATCCTCGGCACATCTCGGTGCAACTTTGAAACGCTAGAACAAAGAAGGGCACACCTAACTGTTAAGGAATACCAAAGAATTCTAAGTGATCCGACCAACCCATGTAATAAACTTATCCCCCAACCTTTTATCCATGAACACGATCTAAGAACAACAAATAATCTACCATATATTGTATCGTATACTAAAAGACACCGGCAATCCTTTATACCTAGAGCTATATCCCTTTTAAAACAGTCCTAAATTAATTTTATAGAATATATAACTAGTATAAACATTTTTAGCAACATTGATGTAAATAATAGTAAAATTTCTTCTTATCAATTTTAACCTTAGCACTTCTTGTAAATCCATTGTACTTTTCTAACCAAAGATGGATATTAAATGTTATTACTAAATGTTATTATTTAGCTATGCCTACTATAAATGCACTGCGAGATATCTTTAGCCGCCATGGTCTTCCGGAAATATTAGTTTCCGATAACGGACCGCAATTGATTGCTGGCGAGTTTCAACAGTTCTGCCGTAACAACGGAATTATGCATCGAACTTCTGCAGCCTACAAACCTTCAACGAACGGTCAAGCTGAACGAGTTGTTCAAATTTGGAAATAGGCGATTGAGCAAGCTCGAATTACTAAACAGGATGTGAACGTGGTTATTGCTAAGAGCTTACTAGTGTATCGTAATGCACCACATTCTACAACGGGTGGGCACCTTCAGTTTTACTTATGGGCAAACGTCTGCGAACACGACTTGATCTAGTGCTTTCCTTCCCCTGGCATGCATAACCAAGTTCTACTTTTAAAGAATTACCTCGAATTCAGACATGCCCGTTGTTGGTTCATCTCTATTCTCCATACTGATCCTAAAACAAAACAATTTGGACCCTGCAACCACCATATTGAAAATTGAGTACAACTACATGTCATATAAAGGAGATGGAATGTGCATAGGGTACCGATGCAGGACTGACAAAAATGGTTTGCTGATTCCGTTATTGCTTTGCATATTTGTTGTGCTGTTTAAATTAAGGTGGCACGATACAGTTTTTAAAAATGGAAAATTCACCATTTCGATCCGTATTTCCCGACAAGTCATGTTATCAGTTTGTAATATTATATGATCGCCGAGGAAAACCGGCACAGAACGGATGCTGAGATAAATTTAGGCCTAAGTGTTTGTTTTTGTATGGTTTACTATTGTGGTTTATTACATTTTATTATATAAAGTTAAAATTATAGTGCTTTATAGAGATTTCGAGCACTGATAAAAGTGATAATCTCACATGTGAGATTCTTCATGATAATCGCTTTTCTGTAAAAATTATCGCTTTTTAAAGACTGTCCTTTATATAATAAGTAGAAAAATACATGGGTGCTTGGCACATGTTCAACACTCGAAATAAATCTGGAATTTCCGCGCACCCATGTATTATTCTCTATATATACGAATTTTACCATTGATTGAAGTAATTATACCTTTGCGCGGCATGGTTTGTGTTTGTCAGGTTTATTTAAATGACTACATTGAATTTAGATTTATTTTATTCACAATAGATGTTTGTTAACAAATATGTTGTGATATGTGTAAATATGTTCTACACCGCCATTGCAAAATAGATATGTTTTGATAATTTTCTACTAAAAATGACAACAATGACGTCTCAATATGACGGATATTTTGGCTTTAAAATAATTCAACTCTAGACGAAATCAATAACCCCCAATAAAAATGCATGATTTCTTTTAGTATGCTCAATTTGACAATCATAAAAAATATCGGTTGACCCAAACATTTCCAATTTACGTAAATGTGAATATTCAAAATATTTTTTACTTAATTTTTTGTTTAAATTGTCAAAATAATTGAGTACACTAAGGGAAATCATTTCGTGAAATAAAATTCAGTGGTCACCGCGATGTCGTTTTTGGATTAAAGCCAAAATATCCGCCATCTTAAAACTTCATTGTTGCCATAGAAGCGGCAATTGAAAAAAGTTTGTTATTTTTGTTTCATTTGAAGTCTATGCAAAACAATTATTCACGTCACTGTCGGTGCAAGGATATGGCGTCTGGGTGAATATCCTTACCCCCACTTCGATGTATCGCTATTAACTATTTACAAAACTTTAACATAGCATGAAACATACTGTACAGTACCTCTGCTTGCGATCTCTGTTTATTTCCAAAGTGTCCTTAACTTCAAATTTTATTTTTAAATCTTCTACCTCTCCGCCAATATTTCGTAGCTCTTCCAAGAATCTTCTTTTAAGATTTCCACATTTGTAACTATCTAGTAATTCCTTCACCCGCGTGACTGTGAAACAAGCAACATCAACAACTAGGGATCCCTGCCTAAATTGAATGTACCAACCAAAGACAGTTCTACACACGCCAAAAACCATATTTCTGCCTCTTTCATTGCCGCAAAGAACGCCCAGTGCGAAGCCTACAGCTACGCCGCCTGCTATGGCTACCACACGTCCAGTGCAGTTGAATCTTAATATCAATCCATTCTGCCCACACAGCTCAACATTCAAACCGTCGTTTGGTATTTCTGCTTGCTCTGGAGCAGCTGCCATGCCAAACTGGATTTTATTAAATTTCCTGTAAAGACAAAAAAATATGCACAATCTTGACTCAATATTATTCGCCAAAGGAGTGCAACGATTCACAATTCAGGCTTTGAGAAACCCAGTTCTTTTGAGGCTTTGCATTGGCTAAATCCGAGGTAATTCTTTACCTTTAATTCGCATACACAACGTGGAACTGCGAAAGACATTGGCAAGGGAAGTGAAAATAGCGTAGCAAGGATTTTGTTACTTTTCATCATGCCTAGGACATGTCCTCTTCACGGGGGCATCCCGATGGTGTTCATGGTTACTGAACGTTGCGTATTTCTGCATGTGGAAAAATGAGTAACAGAAACTATTCTATTTTTTTACCTTTTTGTACTTTTTACAGCTAAATAGTTTTGACCGAAAAGTTTGCGGATCAAACAATTATGCATAAATTACAAACTTACCAGAACCGTACGAAGGTTTCTTGGCGTTTTTCAGAATTTTTTGTTTTGGCGCTGAGTTCGACCCCTAATTCTTCGCACAAAACTGCTAGAATCTTTGCAGAAAATTTTGGGACACTTTTGTTAAAATGTGACAAAAATTCCCCCTCCTCCTTTTACAATGTTGGCTTTATCACAAGTAATCCTGATCAAGTGGAATAAATTACTGTAAAATAACGGAAGTGTGAAACAACATTGAAAAGGGGGATGGAGCCATCACCGAATGAGTTTGAATGCTTTTTCAGCATCCATTCATTTGTGTAGTAGATATTTTAACAAGTAGATTGTGCCGTAAGTAGATTGTGCCGTAAAGGACGAGTACAATATTTGTTTTGTTAACCTTTTAAAATAATTTATGATGTCGCGTGACTATAAGAATACAATGCCGCAACAAGCAAAAAATACTGGTCATGTGACTAAGGCACAATAACTCAAAGTGCAATTGTGTAAATATCAATGTCATATGCAACAACCTGCCAAATGCAGTACTATGCAACCACCTAACGCGGTCTCTGCCATGAATAACGCCATGAACCAAGATATTCTTGGTAATTGCAACTGGTATTTTGACATTTTTTTGTTGTTGAACCCAAGTAAAACTAAATTGACTGTCTAAGGTAGCAGACAGAGGGCAAAGAAGTTGCCGGAATTTCACCTCTCACTATTGGGAGAATTTTAGTACCAGTACAGTCTGTGAAGGACCTCGGAGTGACTTTGTTAAAAACAGCATGTTTTTAGACTAATAATTTACAATTATTCGCGAAGACGAGGTGATTATCGGGCGGGGAAATATTCACCGAGACGAAGTCGGGGTGAATATTCCCCGACAATCACCGAGCCTGCAAGAGGCGAATAATTGTTGCTTTTGTGCTTTTGGGACTGGATTTATTTTAATTTCGCTTATTTCTTTATCAGAAACTTCCACAAAACGGCTAGCCACCATTTTGCAAATTTCGGTTTTGTTATATTCACCTGTAGGTGAATATAACAGCTTAATACGTCGAATTTGACCAATCGACTTGTAGAATTTGTTATGTTCACTTGTGCAAAAATACTAATGATGATTAACTCGCTGGTATCTAGTAAATTATATTATTGTTCTTACGTTTGGTCAAACACTTTGGCCGCCTGCATGTGTTGTCACGAATGCTGGAAAATATGATCATATAAAGCCAGCTTTAAAGAGCTTGAAGTGGACACCGATCAAAACTTATTAGTATTTTAGAGACGCTGCACTGGCTTTTAAATGTATTATGGGTATGGTCCCAGAATATCTAAGCCGCAAATTTAGTACTAGGGGTAGCAAGTGACTGAAAAACAAGGAATTTCGAAAAATTACATACTCCATTGTGTAAGACCAAGACAACTAGGACAAAGCTAATTTTCTTATAGAATTGTCCACATTTGGAATAACTTGCCGTCCTTTACAAAGTGAATAATAATAATAATAATAATAATAAACATTTATATAGCGCACAAACCAAGACTGTTCTGGGCGCTTTACAGTAATACAAAATCCAATCTTGAAACTAGTGTTAAGAATGTTAAAACTATAGAATACATCATACACTATTTAAAAACAAGTTAAAAAGATATGTTTTAAGAAACTTCTTAAAAATGGTTAATGATTCATACATCCGAAGATGAACAGGTAAATCATTCCACAATCTTGGTCCAGCAACACAGAACGATCTGTCTCCGTATGTCTTTAGTCTAGAATAAGGAATCTGGAGCAATTCATTTCCATTTGATCGAAGAGTACGCTGCGAAGTACGACACAGCATAAGTTCCTTCAGATACGATGGAGCAAGATCATTAACAGCTTTGTAGACAAGAAGTATAATCTTGAATTGAATACGGTATTGGACAGGTAACCAATGCAATTCAATAAGAACTGGGGTGATATGCGCCGATTTCTTAGTATCAGTTAATAAACGAGCTGCAGTATTTTGGACTCTCTGAAGCTTCTGAAGCAAATATTTGGGTACACCATACAACAGGGAGTTACAATAATCCAATCTTGAAGTTATAAATGCATGAATAATTATTTCTAAGCAATTTCGAGGTAGATACTTCTTAATTCTTGAAATATTCCTAATATGGTAGTAAGCTGACTTGCAGATAACATTAATATGTTCGCCCAATCTGATCCACTCATCAAAAATCACCCCCAGATTTCTTGCTGAAACAGTTGGCACAATTTTTTCCTTTCCCACCATGATATAATTTAAGGGAGGCATCAGATGATAGCGTGAATGGACTAATATAAGCTCCGTTTTGCCACTATTTAGTTTCAATTTATTCAACATCAACCAGTTTCCCAATTCAAGTATACATTCCTCCATACGGATCTTAGATGATATTAAATCATCACGATCATTCGTTTTGAATGCAATGTAAAGTTGCCCATCATCAGAAAAAAAGTGAAAGCGCAGATTGTGGCGCCTAGCCACATCCGCGAGAGGGGCAGTATAGAGTGAATACAACAGAGGACCCAACACAGATTCCTGAGGTACACCACAATCAAGATCACTCAATAACGAATCAGTTCCCTCAACACAAATAAACAGTTTCCTGGATGTAAGGTATGAGGTAAGCCAATCCAACACACGACCCCTTATGCCAAAGCGTTTCGATAGTCTTGTTAATAACATTAAATGATCCACGGTGTCAAAAGCCGCCGACAGATCTAGTAGGACAAGAATAACAGAATCACCGTTATCTAGAGCTTGAAGGATATCATTTTGAACCCTCAATAGCGCTGTTTCAGTACTATGACAAGGTTTATAAGCAGACTGGAATTTCTCATGTAGATGATTTTCAGTAAGATAATCAGTTAATTGAACAGCAACTGCTTTCTCAATAGATTTCGAGACAAATTTCAGATTTGATATTGGACGAAAACTGCAGAATTCTTCATAGGAAAGATTGTACTTTTTTAATAACGGTTGAACAACAGCAATCTTCAAAGAGTCAGGCATTGTACCACTTTCCAAGGAGAGGTTGATTATTCTAGCTACAACGGGTAAGATGTCATTAAAACAGTGATTTAGCATGACCACCGGGAGTGGATCCAGAGAACAGGATTTAGTTGCGATACGTTGGATTAAATGGAGCACTTCGTCTTTTCCAACCTCCCTGAAGGTGTGAAATTCATAAGGACATGAATCAGCATCAGGTATAGGATTTTCTATGTTTTTACTCAAGAGTTCATCTTCGATATCACCTCGTATTTTAACAATTTTCTGAGTGAAGAAATCACTAAATGAGTTGGCAAGTGACATTGGGTCAGCAGAAGATGGATAGCGAATAATCGTATTTGTATGCAGCAAATTGCTTACAGTCTTGAAAAGGGTTTTTTGATCAGATGATCCATTATTAATTAAGTCGGTATAGTAAGCCGATTTTGAGGAGTCGATAAGTTTATTTACAGCATAACATTGTTGTTTATAGCGATTCCAATCAGCATTCGTCCTTGTTTTATGCCATTTTCTCTCAAGTTGTCTCCGAATTCGTTTCTTATCATTGATTTCGTTAGTATACCAGGGTGCCTTAGGGCGCAATGTAATTTCCCGGGATTTAATTGGTGCATGGTTATCTAAGATAGTATGAAGACAATCATACTCATTCACCAATGATACCAAATCCATAGTCGTAAAATTCTTAAGAAGAAAATAATTTAGTACATCCGTTTTGAATTTATGAATATTAACCGCCCGCAAATTACGAAGAAGCAAATGTTTCTTCACAAACTTCGGTTTCCTAATCAATAGTTGTAAATGCACAACTGAATGATCAGAAATCAGAGGATCGAGGATGTTGTAATGGTTAACAATGTTTTCTTCAGATCGCGTTATAATTAAATCCAGTGTGTGACCACTTGCATGTGTTGATCCAGAAATGTACTGCTTCAAATCAAAGGAAGCGAGAAGATCCACGAACCGTTTGGTAAGAGGGTCATTAGGATTGTCCAGATGAAAATTGAAATCTCCAGCAATCAAGAGTTGCCCGGGTGATACAATAATTCCTTCCAAAAAGGATGAGAACTCTTCAAAGAATAGAGTAGATGTCAGTGAGTTAGCCGATGAAGGAGGCGGCCGATATACAACAATAATTCTAATATGTAGAAAGTTCAAAAAAGAACTGTCAAGGTATTCAAATGACCTAAATACCTCCTGTACATTACGCTTAATATTAAGACTTTCCTTGAATAAGAGACCAACGCCCCCACCGATTGATCCATGTCTCGGTGTATGCAGAAAACTATAACCTGTTGGGCATAGATCCCCAATAATTAAATCGTTCCCACTTGGAGGGAGCCAAGTTTCCGTCAAAGCAAGAATATCAGTATCTTTATCCACAACAAAATCTTTAATAATCATAGTCTTGTTTCTAACCGATCTGGCATTAAGAAGGGAGAAATCAATTCTCAGCGAATGTTTAAGAGGGGCTACCTGTAAAAACCGATAATCTTATAATTTAGTTGTAAAAAATTGAAATTTATTTTAAGTCGCAAATGAACCTATTTATTTTCATATTAATCTGACACTGCAATCGACCAACGAAAAATTCGTTGGCTCGAGCGGGATTTGAACTCGCATCTTCGGGTATCTAAGCCGCCGCTCTACCTATTGAGCTATCGAGTCGACAGGGATTGGTAGCGAGTCTTATCCAATTTAAGTGCACGAAATATTTTCGTGACGACTTATGCTTGTCTTAGAGGACGCGCAGTGTTTCAATTCTATTTCAGAACCATCCTCAGAGATACGAAAAACTAGTTTCATTTTAATCTGATACTGCAATCGACCAACGAAAAATTCGTTGGCTCGAGCGGGATTTGAACTCGCATCTTCGGATATCTAGACCGCTTCTCTACTTACTGAGCTATCGAGTCGACAGGGATTGGTAGCGAGTCTCATCCAATTTAAGTGCACGAAATATTTTCGTGACGACTAACGTTTGTCTTAGAGGACGCGAAGATGCGAGTTCAAATCCCGCTCGAGCCAACGAATTTTTCGTTGGTCAATGGACCATTTGCATTATAGACTAAATTTTGATCCAGACAAAAATTTCATCACAGCTTGAAAGAGCATCACAAAATTAGTAATATTCAAAAGTTTCGTTGCGAAATGTTGTAAAATGCGGATAATATAGCCATGCGAAGTTTGCCGTTTTTCAGTCATTTTGTATTACGCACGGGAAATTGACAGCCCAATCGGGTGTTGGGGCATCAATTTCCCGTTTGTAATCTAAAATGACTGAAAATTGCAAATTTCGCAAGGCTATATTTTCCGCATTTTACAACATTTTGCAACGAAACTTTGGAATATTACTAATTTTGTGATGCTCTTTCAAGCTGTGATGAAATTTTTGGCTAGATCGAAATTTAGTCTATAATGCAAATGGTCCATTGCAGTGTCATTAATATGAAACTAGTTTTTCGTATCTCTGAGGATGGTCCTGAAATAGAACCTATTTATAGTGAACTGATTTCAGGAAAAATACCACATATAGTTGGCCTGTTGAGGCCAACTCACGGATAAATCAAATGAAAGTGACAGAAAGAATTAGAGCAATTTGCAGTTGTTTTTGCAAACCGGGCACCGTGCGAATTTTGCCATTTCACCCATTTTTTGGCTTCTTTTGCCAAATCAAAAGAACAAACGCGTGCGCCAGCCCGATTTTCGAGAATCATTAAGAGCAAATTTAATCACTTGCTACAAAATTACTTCGCCAATCGTAAAATTACGAATTTATAAAATACCTTTTCCAATTTGAGTTAGTGCTTGGTGTTCATACTACATTTGCACATAGTTCTCAATAAATATGTTATTAAGCTATCGGGGCGAGATACGAGCTATCCAAGCACGAGAATGTAATTAAGCCTTCCTGTTTGCATATCATGCAGTATAACAACATCTGAACTTGAACTCTCTCAATTTCAACAATCCATAAAACAAATTAAATCCATACATTTCTATTCCTAAATCTGTATAAAAATGGCGAGGTATCAAAGTTAGTGCACTAATTATGCAGTCATACACCTTATGAGCAAACAACTTGGAGAGACAGGGCCGTCCTTTGTTAGCTTTTCCTCAAACTACTCAGAAAGCCAAAAAATATAGGCACGAGAAGCACTTTCAACGATTTAAGAGAACATGTCAACAAAAATAAAACATGAAGCGGCCACGACAGAAAAATCGATTTTGCTCAAACTTTCCCCAGATATACCTTATTATATCGGAAAATACACCATACATATGTTTAGGTCAAATGCTTTTTTAACTTTGAGAAAATGCCATTTTAACACGATCACCCTAGATCGCCATTTTGTCTGGGAAAATATATATGCGCTAACTTTACCTAACAATTTCAAGACGACGATCTATTTCTAATCGATCTAAACCTCTAAAAATTTGGTTCCCGGTTATTCAAAGGACTGGGTACGTGACTTACTGGAAATCTGAGTTACTTGTAGGAATAGAAATAATCGTAGTTTTGGAGCACACAATCTTACTTCATTTACGATACCCCCTTAAAAAACCCGATTTTCACCATGGGATAAAGCTAGCTCCAAATCGATCATGTTTCTACTAGATGGCTATTTAATAAACATGCTTTCAATTGACGTAAATACTTCTTTGGGCAAATAAATACGCGATAAACAACAACACGTTAAAGAGTTCTGGTCAACCACAATGCATGAATGCGAGCTTTTGTTTACGTTTTTCCGTTACTTTTCTCAATTGTTGCCGCCATTTTCGAGGCCACTAAAAATGGCTTTGGCCCACAACGTAACAGAAACGCAAACAAACGCACGCATTGCATTGTGGTTGACCAGGACTCTTTCATGACGACCCGCACAGCCTAAAAATTGCAACTTTTGCGGATTGAATAAGCAAAAGTCCGGAAATCAGAGCGCATTATCTCATTAAATATAATTCGAAAAACTGTCATCAATCGGTTATTAGTTTCATTACTCACAGTAGGTACTCGGTTTGAAATTCTATTATTAACAAGTTATTAATTAAAAATGCATACTGCGGGAAGCAATTTGTTATGCTCGGTTAAACATTATACAGCATAATATCAGCTGTATGACACTAATGTGTATGAATGTATGTAGATATTAAACAGAGTCAAATGTCTTACCCTATCAACAGATATATAATTATTCCATTGCAGTATTGTCTCTGGCCATTTCTTAAATCTCAGCGTGCCTATACCGAACAGAAGAAACAAGCTTTCCTCGCCACTTTTTCCTTGACAAGTTTTACTTGCTCGCGTATACGACAAAAAATTTACAAGTTTTCCGCGTGCCAAGGAGCCTTGTACAGTATATAAGCTGGTCAGTACGTATACCACACAATATCTTGTCAATGTAATGAGAGTACAGAGTATGGTATAGTAAAGTAAGATTATGAAGTCATGAGACAATTAAGACGCAAGCAATACAATCATGCATGGTCATGGACAATGCACAATTTTTGTCTGCTTCTTTTCTCAATTAAACATACAATTATAATTTATATACAAAAACAAATAACAGAAGGAAAACGTCTACATATAAACGTATAATAACGCAGCGTAAATCAATATCACTGATGTGAAAGGCATGCAATATTCGGCGGCCGCCAATCATAAAACATATATTCTATAATATGAATTAGGCAGCTGTTCTGTTGTATAATATTCCTGAAAAAATACAAGGAAAATTTGGCGTTTTGAAAGTTTAGTTTTATCCTCACTGACAATGAATTAGTTTATACATATATACTGTAATTTATATATAGAGAGGTTTCGAACCCAATGGAATTGCAGAGCCGCAGGTTCAATTCTCGCCGGAGGACCTATATAGTTGCATATATCGAAACTGCTTTTGGTTAGGTTTAAAAAAATGTTGATAACTTTCCGTTCGATTATCCATCTACAAGTATCTTCATTCTAGCTAATTAGTGGTATTCTTCTCAACACACTCGCAGTGCATTGATTTATGGTTGTTGATAAACCTGATAAAACACTCCTGCATTAAACACTACTTATTAAATATCCTATTAGAGTATATAATTGGTCTTTGATAGAGAAAACGGCCACTAGGATCGAATACACTGTATTGTATCAGTCAGATTGTATTTGCAAATTGGGTTTCTTGTTCAGGATGAGACTTACAATGAACATTTTTTAAAGATAAGAGAATTTGATGGCAAATAGTAAACAAGTATTTAATGAATAAGTGTACCAACGCTGTTTCTAAAAATATCACTTTGTACATAAATATTTGTTTTCAATAAGATGTAAGTTGCTGTGTAATAATTATGATACAACTTTCAGCTTTAACTGATTAAGCAAAGATGACTACATCTTCTTAATCTGTCAGCAAAAGATGACTGCATCTTTCTGACACAAGAGCGTCCACTAAAAGAATTCTCATAATATTTATACTGTACAACAGCAATATAGTTTTTATGCCTTGAATAGTAGCTTATGATAAAATGATAGAATTTATTGTACTTTTCATTTAGATATAAATTGCTGTGTAATAATTATGATACAACGTTCAGCTTTAACTGATTAAGCAAAGATGACTACATCTTCTTAATCTGTCAGCAAAAGATGACTGCATCTTTCTGACACAAGAGCGTCCACTAAAAGAATTCTCACAATTTTTATACTGTACAACAGCAATGTAGTTTTTATGCCTTGAATAGGCTTATGATACAATTATAGAATTTATTGCACTTTTCATTTAGATATAAATTGCTGTGTAATAATTATGATACAACGTTCAGCTTTAACTGATTAAGCAAAGATGACTACATCTTCTTAATCTGTCAGCAAAAGATGACTGCATCTTTCTGACACAAGAGCGTCCACTAAAAGAATTCTCACAATTTTTATACTGTACAACAGCAATGTAGTTTTTATGCCTTGAATAGGCTTATGATAAAATTATAGAATTTGTTGTACTTTTCATTTAGATATAAGTTGCTGTGTAATAATTATGATACAGCTTTCAGCTTTAACTGATTAAGCAAAGATGACTACATCTTCTTAATCTGTCAGCAAAAGATGACTGCATCTTTCTGACACAAGAGCATCCACTAAAAGAATTCTCACAATTTTTATACTGTACAACAGCAATGTAGTTTTTATGCCTTGAATAGGCTTATGATAAAATTATAGAATTTATTGTACTTTTCATTTAGATATAAATTGCTGTGTAATAATTATGATACAACTTTCAGCTTTAACTGATTAAGCAAAGATGACTACATCTTCTTAATCTGTCTGCAAAAGATGACTGCATCTTTCTGACACAAGAGCGTCCACTAAAAGAATTCTCATAATCTTTATACTATACAACAGCAATGTAGTTTTTATGTCTTGAATAGTATAGCTTATGGTAAAATTATAGAATTTATTGTACTTTTCATTTAGATATAAATTGCTGTGTAATAATTATGATACAACGTTCAGCTTTAACTGATTAAGCAAAGATGACTACATCTTCTTAATCTGTCAGCAAAAGATGACTGCATCTTTCTGACACAAGAGCGTCCACTAAAAGAATTCTCATAATCTTTATGCTGTACAACAGCAATGTATTTTTTATGTCTTGATTAATAACATTATTTTGTAGGATTTATTGTGAAATAAAAGTGAGCGTATACCTCTTCAATTAGTATGCATTATCACTAGAATAGTGCATCTAGTGATTCTACTATACATGATTGGTTCTACATACTCATTGAAAAAAACAGTAGAGGCAATTGTAAATCCTACCCGTGAAGGTGCAGAAACATCAATGATTTCCACAAGAAAAATGCCATCATAATCATACCACCTGCCATGACATTGGTATCTTCATGTAGTGAACTCCATTCTAGAATGCGATTCCTCCTAGAGTGTATGTGGTGTTACAAACGAATAATGTTTTATATAATATTGACATTATACAATTCAATACACCTTTTCGATAATTGCGTCACCAGTATTTCCTTTGTCTGGGAGCCTCGCTTCATGAATCAAGAAAGCCCCGTTTACACTACGCTCAATTTTTGGTACGGCACGGATAAAACTGGTACCCGTACCACTTTCATGAAAACGAGGCTCCCGGGCCAAGGAGAAATTTGTGACGTAATTATTGAAAGGCTGTTGTGTAGAGTCTTGTGGTATGGTTTGTATGGTTGAACCTGCAACTTCTGTTGTGATGCTCACAGGCAGGGTAAAAACCTTGTAAAGGTGCGATTGTAAGAATTATCACATGTAATAAAGTAAATTGTTACATTCATAACCTTTGGCTCCGATGGTCAGTAATCAAAGTACGGAATGTGTGAAACAAATAACAATAGTGCTTAAACTGTCTAATAAACACGTTTAAATATGTGCGTCAGTATGCAAATCTATCACACCTTAGGTAAAATGTTACCATGCAGTAAAACAATTATCATGCAGTTACACTTATATTCATACTTGCGCTTAATATTATCCGTAAATCATTGGCCATGCATGAGAGTGTTTTGTACACATTTTTTGTCTATTTTGGAAATGTACTTGACCAGACGACTATGCATTTGTATTAAACGAAAGAGGATATCAAATATCAACATACCCCAGTGTGTCCATGTTATGTAACCAAGTAGTGTCTGCCATCCTACGTCTGAAATTTTTATTCTGACTTTCAGAAGAAGCATATATGGTCCAATCTGGCATTTTAATAGATTTAAACAGAATTGACTGGCTTTGTTCCGGAAGAGTCGTGTCTAATGCCTCTAGTCTTGAAAATATCACATCGGTTGCCCCAATCACAACATCAGAATATTATATACCCGACAACCGCCTTCTGATGCCGATATATAATATCGTGTTCTCCTCGAGGTTCTCCTGATAGGCACACGCAACAACAGTCAGGGATTTCCGATGAATTGCTTGCCATTCGTTTTAATGCGACGCATCGCCGCGCGCTAGTTGACGCGCGCTGCGATGTAATTTTGGCGCGCACGGAGAGAATAACAATCTCTTGTTCTTGTCTTTCCATTCGAACACGCTTTGGACTTGGCTCTAGGTCGTTTCCTGCAGGGTCTGAGCCGTCTCCATCCATATTATGGCTGTTTGATGTCGTGGTCTTTAAGATCAGCGATATTTAATACCTTTTCTACTTCGCTGGAGAACAATCGTAAGGTTGCGATTCCTTCGTGCTTCTACCAGATTTCAGATGGCCAAAGAGCAAGTCATTGAACGCATTAATTCTTGCTATAGTCAAACCAATGCGAATATACTGGAAAGTATATTTCGCACATTGATCTAAGCACACAGCGGGTTTTGTTCGAAATTGGCGCGTGTTGCATGTATAACTCCCAACTACGGCGTTGACAAATGTGATAAGCCATTAGGAATTATTAAATTATTACAAAATCGGATGTAGCTTATCAATATTTAAACGAAGAATAAAACGGACATTAAATTACACTAGTATGATATAATTGGGTGAGTTAATTTAATTTGTATATGTCAACCCTCAAACGCCTGCCTTACAAATGCCATGGGAACGAACACATTTTCCCTTAATTTTTTCACACATCGTGCGGGTCCTCATGCTGCGAATCTGAAACTGTAAAGCTGACCGTTTGCTAGTTCAATACAAAGTCCCGGAGGCCGCGATGCTATACTGAATATGGAAGTGATTCAACCCATTCATAGAAATATACAATACTGCAAAACACGGAGTTGTGGATTGATAGAGATTCACCTACCCCTCCTGAAAAATACAACCAAAACGTCGACGTTTCGAGCGAAGGCCCTGATACAAAACAAACATACATTGATACGAGGCCCTAACTATAGTGAAATATTTCTATATATGACTGTAAGATCGGACTAAACATGTATAGTTACGCTGCCATATATTTACATTCTATCGGTCGACCTCAACTTCTATCGGTTGGCCGAACCGCAACCGCAGTGTCAGGTTATTTCAGTGTTATGGACAGAGCTGTAATTCAATGCCACACAACTTATAAATTCATTGATTCTCATCACCACATTTAATAGAGAGTTTACGATTCACGACGCGGCTAGAGAAGACGCGTTAGAAAGGCTTGGTGACTAGCGCGACCCAAGCCGAGAAGCCGCGTCGCCTTTTCTGGTCCCTACGTTACAACACAACGCACTAGCACAAAACGTTTATTTTGGCGGGAAAATTATAGGTTTTTCAAAATCTTTGTATTAATTTTTGTTTTTGAAAGAGCGAATTTAAATGGAAAATGTAATCAAAGGTACCATTTCATCAAAAATAAAAAGTTAAGAACTTAAATTCACGTTTTCAACTTAATTACACAAGACGCGTTGGCCGCGATAGTTACCAAGCCTTGCTAACTCGCGTCTTCGCTAGCCGCGTCGTGGAATAAAAGTAATTCATATATATAAGTTACATTTAATAGTTCTGTGATTTCCGACCATCATATCTTGCTAGACTGTGCTTGAACTGAATGCGAAGTTCCTTTAAAATGCAATGAAATTATCAGTATCATTTATATAATACCAAAATAGACTAATATTAAAATGTTTACTGTAAGCTCCCGCCATTATGACGAGTCGTATTTGCATTAAATCCCATTTACTGAGTTTCGAATTAAAATAAACTGCGATCACCGTACGAGAAGCATTTTGACGGATGTGATTTATCGAAAACATAAAGAGTGCAATGGAATAAAACGTATAGTACAATTGCACTCGCAAGAGTGCAATGGAACGTATTCCATTGCACTCTTGCGAAATGGGATTTTCTATTCAATATCACGTGACCATAAACAGCCAATTAAACGATCAGAATTCAATAAGGTATTATATAAAATAAACTTAATTGTCTTGAAATATTTTGTCGGAACGAAATATGGAAAATATTCACGCGGCTCTTAAAATACAGTCGGTTTGTGATAAGAATCAAGAAATTTAATTCAGTATGTGGCCTATTGCAATGATTAGGGATGAGCCGATTAATCGGTAAACAATCGGCAAAGCCAATTAATCGGCCATTTTTTAAATAATCGGTAATCGGCCGATTATTGCCTGATAATCGGCAAATAATCGGCCATAAGACTTTTTCTGCAGCTGTCAATCACATGCTAAAATACTGAATACAAGCGAATAGATTTTCACATTTTGTTGCAAAACCCGCGTCTTTTGTTCTTAATCACTGTCAGCAGTTGAAAAGGTCTAAAAACTAGCTCCGCATAAAGCTGACAAAATCCTGTTTTTACACCATAATCTGCCAAAACTAACTTTGACTATTGACATGCGAGGTTGAAGCAGATTTTAATCGTACATAGTGTGTACTGTAAACAATAAAAGCGCATTTACAACTTCATTGTTGGTCATGCATCTTGTGATTTTTCTCTTGCTTTTTAAAATAATCGGCAGGTACCGATTAGTTACGATAATCGGCTTATAAATAATCGGCCTCAGTAATCGGCAATTTTCCTTATCGGCTCATCCCTAGCAAAGATAATGCCATTGAAGTTCCAGTTCAGGTAAAATTCTTTCATTGACACACCACACTATACCGAACTCATCACACATTTGTGATTTGTAGTATACATTATAATTTAATAAAAAATACTTACAAAATTAAAAATATATTAAATTCTTCACAGTCTCTCAATGCAACCTCGTACCCAGGGCTAGCTGCGAATTCAAGGCAGCGACAATGTTGTTTATTGTTGTTAAACTAATTAAGTGGCAGTCCCGCTAAGAGCGGTCCGATGACTTTGACTTCGGAAAATAGATTTCCTTTATTTTTTGGGTGTTGAAAGGCATTGGTATACAAGTGTCCAGAATAAATTTATTTTTTGAAAATTCTTTTTTATGGCTTCGCTAGACGCCGAAACTCATTTTACCCGTGCAGAGCTAATTTCAAGCATAATCGAAGGTTGAATTTCGGTAAATTGTAGAGCCGCGCTGTGTCAAAACGCCGGACTATTTCCAAGTTTCAACTAGATCAACAAGTTAAGATACAATTCAGGTTCCCTGTTCCAAGAAATAAGAGCATTTGAATAAATTGTGAATAAACGACAGCGACTTGACGGCACACCGGTTTTTGCTTCTTGTTCGGTCTACAAAATTACACTAAAATCGAAGCTTGAGATCTCCAAATGGGGACCTAAAATTACGCTGAAATGTGCTTGGCTGTAATGATTTATACTTATTTTCAGAAGATCTGAAGAAAAACCTGCGGGTATGAATCTGTATTTGGCGCGAGTTAAGATTTTCTGGAGCCCATAATCAGTGATTTTGCATAATTTATAGCTAATTAACATATTTCTTGAGAGGCGCTAAAAGTAAACAATTTCTTTCTGACTAACATATCTCAGATGAAACAGACTACCACAGCTAGTAATACCCTTTTTGTAAATATAGTCGTAATGTTCTTTTCCTGACACGCTGAGAGAGCTTTGTTTTTGAATGTTATGCCACATTCATTCAGTCTGACCAGATTCATAAATGTCACGAACTTATATATTTCAAAAATATCAGTACCAGAAATCAGAATTCAGAAAGACCGATTATTCTTTCCTTGATTCAGTTGATGGCCATTAGGGACGGACCATTTGATTTTTGATGGGGGGGTGGGTAGAATCCCAAAAAAAATATCGGGCAAGCAATTCGAACTTTAAAAAAATATCGTGCAAGAATAAACGGACGAAAAAAAATATCGAGCAAGACTTTCGAGTGGTAATCCTTATTTGCCATTTGGTGCATTTTCGCGTGTAGCCCAGAGCCGCGTGTAGCCCTAGCTGGGGGCTGCAAGGTCCAGGAAATGGCATTTCAGAGACTCTAAATTTAAAAATTTCCTCGGGCCTTCGGCCCTCGCTTTCAGCCCCCCAATCAAAAAGAGCTTCCTAAAGCCCTGTAGCCTAAATAATGGGAGGACCAGTATCATTCCAAAAATGGTTGTTCTTTATTAGTTTCTTTACTCCGACTCCTATGATGAACATGTGCGTACTGGTGTAAGTGACAGTGGTGTAAGAGTACTGGTGTAATAATTAAAACATGTACATAATTATATACCAAAACAGAGATTAGTAAATGAATGATACGACATGACCAATAGATAGCTATAGCTAGTTCTGATGTGGATTTTGCTACGTAGAGGATCAAAGTTCACATTATTTTCCGAACCCCTAAACTCTCCTTTCTAATTCTCCTCTGCAAATTCTATATACCCCCCCCCCTTAAAAAAAAACCATGCTGAAGAAGACTGTTTGGTCGAAACGCGTATAGGGTTGCCTTTCCTACTCAATTTCTCTCACTCTTATATCCTCACCTTTTGTGGAGTCCCATAAAAATTTCACCTACTTTACCTCGTAGTTTCCCTAGTTTTTTTACGTACATGTTCATCATAGGAGTCGGAGTAAAGAAATGGAGAACAACCATTTTTTGAATACTGGTCCTCATTATTTAGGCTACACAATGTCTTACATCAGTACTTGTCCAATTACCTATTATATACCAAAAAATGTAAAAACAAAAAACTAAAAAATTATGTATATACATGCATACAAAAAAATATCGTGCAAGTCCTCTGACTGACAAAAAAAAATCGAACAGTGTCAGGAGGCGGAAAAAAAATATCGAGCAAACTGAAAATCTACCCACCCCCCCATCAAAAATCAAATGGTCCGTCCCTTAGTTGATTGATTTAAAAAACTATAAGTATAATAGAACATTCCATGTGTTTCCATTGCCCCTATATAGGGCTAGAATGTTTATCAATATGTTCTATTTTTCTGTGGCGACGGCATATTAACAAAATACGACACAAAAATGTACATTCCGTCATTCGAATTTATGCCGACATATCAGAATGTTATTTATGAAGTTTGAATTGAATTTACTTAACGCGAAATAAATACTAAAATAGGAATTTTCTATGCTGGGTTAGTAAAAGAAAAAGCATAATTTTAATTGTATGTAATTTCGATGAATACTATAAAAAAAATTATACGCATTGTTTTAATATATAAATTAGCTATAACATTTACATATTTATTACGATAGTAGCGACGTTTGTTTTAGCCATGTAACAAAATAAACTATAAGCATTCTGATCAGTTATTTAATAAAAATATCAAACTTGTGTCTTGTGAATTTTAATTCACAAACTTTTGAAATTTATTCTCAGCTATGGAGCTCACGAATATTTTTTTTTTCAAAGAAAAATATTGAAATTCGATTATTTATAAAATTGATATTTTTGTTAAAAATGTTAGCTAATTTATATAAACATTGCGTATAATTTTTTTATAGTATTCATCGAAGTTACATACAATTAAAATTATGCTTTTTCTTTTACTAACCCAGCATAAACTATGATTCCTATTTTAGTATTTATTTCGCGTTAAGTAAATTCAATTCAAACTTCATAAATAACATTCTGATATGTCGGTCATAAATTCGAATGTACATTTTTGTGTCGTATTTTGTTAATAGGCTATGCCGTCGCCACAGAAAAATAGAACATATTGATAAAAATTCTAGGCCTATATAGGGGCAATGGAAATACGTGGAATGTTCTATTATACTTATAGTTTTTTAAATCAATCAACTAAATCAATCAACTGAATCAATGAAAGAATAATCGGTCTTTCTGAATTCTGATTACTGGTATATTTTTGAAATATACAAGTTCGTGACATTTATATGAATCTGGTCAGACTGAATAAATGTGGCATAACATTAAAAAACAAAGCTCTCTCAGCGTGTCAGGAAAAGAACATTACGACTATATTTACAAAAAGGGTATTACTAGCTGTGGTAGTTTCTTTCATCTGAGATATGCGGTTAGTCAGAAAGAAATTGTTAACTTTTAGCGCCTCTCAAGAAATATGTTAATAGCTATAAATTATGCAAAAATCATTGATTATGGGCTCCAGAAAATCTTAACTCGCGCCAAATACAGATTGATACCCGCAGGTTTTTCTTCAGATCTTCTGAAAATAAGTATAAATCATTACAGCCAAACACATTTCAGCGTAATTTTAGGTCCCCATTTGGAGATCTCAGGCTTCGAATTTAGTGCAATTTTGTAGACCGAACAAGAAGCAAAAACCGGTGTGCCGTCAAGTTGCTGTCCTTTATTCACAATTTATTCAAATGCTCTTATTTTTTGGAACAGGGAACCTGAATTGTATCTTAACTTATTGATCTAGTTGAAATTTGGAAATAGTCAGGCGTTTTGACACAGCGTGGCTCTACAATTTACCGAAATTCAACCTTCGATTTTGCTTGAAATTAGCTCTGCACGGGTAAAATGAGTTTCGGCGTCTAGCGAAGCCATAAAAAAGAATTTTCAAAAAATAAATTTATTTTGGACACTTGTATACCAATGCCTTTCAACACACAAAAAATAAAGGAAATCTATTTTCCGAAGTCAAAGTCATCGGACCGCTCTTAGCGGGACTGCCACTTAAATGTCAATCTGGATAAAATTAGATTGTTACTTGTTTTTAAAATCCTGTTACTTGTTTTGTCCACATACGTATTTTCTCTAAGGGCAGTCACTGTTTCAACTAATTCTTGCCTTACGACTGGCTTATGTGGCATGTAGTACACTCGCTCTCCTAACGGCTCATCTGGGGCTTTCTCAATCACACCGCTTGCTGGTTGATCATCGATAATCTTCTCATACTCTTGCTTCAGGTCTTCGTCTTTCGTTGAATTTTTGTTCATGTTGAACAGTCGCCTTCTGCTTGGCTGTTCATTTGTAGTTGTCAACTTACTCCATGGAATCCATGATGCTAACTTGGGATCTGCCATCTTCTTGTCTGGTTATGTTCTCTCGAAACTCAGCAAGCACTTGCATTTGGTCATTTTCACCGCGATCTTCAACTCCGATAACATCAAGACTATAACTGTTCGTAATCGTAAACTTCTCTAGTGAACATACAGGCATCGCTCGAATAATCCTCACCGCCAAGAATGACCCATCCGAATGTTGTCTTGTGTATGGGAATACTTCATCTTCAGTTCATTCATATCTGGTCTCTTAACTGTGATGAAATCTTGAAGTCTGGAACCAGTCAGTTCGATTTCTTCATGTACTTTCCCATCAAGAGACGTTATGGTTGTTTGGAAAATAAGCATGGATTGAGTAGAGGTGCCATTCACGGTTACAATCTCGCGGGATTCATAATGAGGGTCCTGAAGGGGTAAAATGGGAACTGGGATTGATCTATTTTTAGACTGGGAAAATGGGATTTGGGTTGCTGGGACTGGGATTTGGCCACTGGGAATGGGAAATGAAGTCCTCAAAAATGGGAATGGGATTGAGGTAATGCGAGTCGATTCCCAATTTTTCTGCGTTTTGAGTATTTTAAAATACAATTTTGATCCGTTTTTGGTGTCTTTGGTCATGATTTTTGTTGTTAACTATATTATTCACAGCACTACCTGCGAACAGGCATACTCTGGCGCCCGGAATTCTGGGTTTTCTGATTATGCGTGTCTCAGAATGCTGCAAATGCCATTTCCGGGATTCAAATTAAAAAATTTTCCGTGCCTTCGGCACAAGCCCCCCCCCCCCCAATTTCATACAGTGTGCGCACTTGCACACACGGTGGCTTAAAAGTCTTAAAACTGTTTATTGTACCAATAAATAAAGGGTTTTTATTGACTGGGATTTCAATAACTCGGACTGGGATTTCTAATAAAAATCCAACTGGGATTTTGCCAAAATTTCAGGTGGGAAATGGGATTGGGACCCCCCCTTCAGGACCCTCCATAAATGTGTTGGATTCAAATCTAGTTTCTTCACAGTCCCGCGTGAAATTAATTAATAAAGTTTCGACCCGAGCCAGTGTCGAGATATATATGCCCACAGGGTTTGTTCTTTTATGTCGTGAATGTGATAAATCCAGTTAATGATGTCTTGTTCTCTTGGTTGTCTTCATTCTTATCACACAGGCTTGTGTGATGTATGGCATTACATGCACCCATAGATATCTTATATACACTAGATAGCGCATCTCTTTTAGTAAAATTGAAGCCAAGAATATTCCAGCGGTTACCCTCATTTGAATAGATGGCGGCCATGTTGGTCGTTCCCACTTGCTAATAAACGCTTAAAAACAACAATAACTTTCATTATTTGAATTGTTTAAAAACGTATTTGGAATAGGGTTAACTTAATGTTTAAGTTCCCTGTTTAAGAAATAGAAAACATACGAATCTTCTCATTTCATGGGAACGACCTGAGACTGCAATCACGGCTTCAATTTTTGAATTGCAGAATAATTAGATGCACTATCTAGTGTATATAAGATATCTATGGATGCACCACGTGGCAAACACTACTTCGGCATTGATTTCCCCTGTGCGACCACAGTTAAAACACAGATTCTTCTCAGCGAAGAATTTCTTTCGGTCGGCCAATCGTTTCACTGTTTTGCATTGATCACTCCAGTGTTCATTGTTCGCGCAAAAACACAGTGAGGTTTTGGGCGTCCGGATGACTTTTGATACCAGTGTCCTTCTGGTTTCTTGTATCTGGTTTCTTTCTGATTGTTCGCATATCATCCACTTTATTCCGTCGAAGCCACTTTTGCAAATTCTTTATTTGTACTTCCATGGACCATTCTTCCCAGTCATCGTCCGCTCGAACCAAGTCGGGTTTTATGTGTGGCAACTTGTTAGTTGTGGTCATAACAAATCCAGAAATTCCAGAGTTTGAAATGCATCGAAATTCTTATAGAAATCTTGATCGTTGTCATACACTACAGACGAATATATTCTCATAGAAATCTTGAACGTTGTCATAATTATGTCCTCTTACTGGAGTTAAGTTAATTATGGCATCCATATGGACGTTGACAACATGTTTGGGGTGATCATGCTCGCTTTTTAATCTCTCCTATATATGCAATCTTGTAACCGACTTCACTCGGTTTCAAATTAGCGATCTTTTCCCTCACCTTTGGGCTCACCATTTCCAAAAAAAAACCGTATTTTTCTTTAGCTGTTGTACTATTTTCTCTTTATCTTCGATCAGCGCTGAATATTTAGATCTTGTTTCCTTTTTCCACTGTCTGACTGAACGCGGTGTTTTGCCGTTATCGATTTTCAACTCTTCTGTTTGTGAAATAAGCTCCGATATTTTGACAATTATTTTGCCAGCGCGATTGTTTATAGCTTCCATTTCACCGTAATCTTTCGCTTGAATAAATTTCATTTGTTTCTTCTAAGAAATACTTCAACTTCGAGGTTTTGCTCGCCTGTGTTTGTAATCTCGCTCGCCTCTTCGTCGCTCATAATGATAATTGATAAAAGTCTAAAACGCATTCCAACCACTCTGTCTTTTGATGGAAACTTTCTTGGAGTTTCCCGTTGAACTTTCCGCCATTGTTTCTTCAGCTGTCCTGCATAATACCCATGATTCAACGCGGGCAGGGAAGGCATCGACCGTTTCGGAAGGTATCGACCGTTTATGAAAGGGAAAATTGCCACGGCACCACTAGTATACCGAACTCATCACACATTTGTCACTATAATATTTATTATTATTATACGGCAAGCATTTGTTTTGATGAATCGCGCAATTTGATTGGCTGCTGACGAGGCAGGATTTTCCTGTATTGCCCACGGGCAATACGCAATTTTTTTGCCCCGCGACAAGAGCCGAGTTTCAAACGGCAAAAAGTGTCTAAAAGTCTTTCAAAACTATTCAAAACGAAGAAAAATAAACCTAAACTAAAGAAAAGGAGCACCTTCTTTGGATAAAGAACTTTCTCACAGATTTATATTTTCCCCCTGAAAATTTCTGGGGGTTTTCGATAAAAAGAGATATATTTATGAGATGAAGCGAACTAAAACCGTACTTGTCCATACTGTTTATTAATTTTATTGTTTTCATATTTGTTGTCTTTGTCTTTGATTAAATGACGAAATACCTCGTATTTTTCTTGAAATACTATCCAACTGTGTTAGTATTCTATATAAAAATTGCTGTAGAGTAGTTTTACTAACCAAGCTTGAGAACATTTTTTACAATTGTTCTTTTTTGCAAATGTTTCGGACTTTGTACTTTGCCCTTGCGTGACCTTTTTTACCCATTTTTTTACAAACGTACAATGCCATATAATAAAAAACTTACTGACCTCAACCGTTCGGGCAGTACGGGAAAATATCCAACCTCGGTCTTGCTGTATTGACCTCGCTATCGCTCGGTCAATACAGCAAGACCGAGGTTGGATATTTTCCCGTACTGCCCTAGCTCACTCTCGGTCAGTAAGTTATTAGTATTTTTGCACAAGTGAACATAACAAATCCTACACGTTGATTGGTCAAATTTGACGCAATAAGCTGTTATGTTCACTTACAGGTGAATATAACAAAACAGAAATTTTCAAAATGGCGACTACCCGTTTTGTGGACGTTTACTGACAAAGAAATAAGCGAAATTAATTAATAAATTCAGTCTCAAAAAACACAAAACTTGTGTAAAAATACTAAAACAATTATTCGCCTCAGGTTCGGTGATTATCGGGGAATATTCACCTCGACTTCGTCTCGGCGAATATTCCCCGATAATCACCTCGCCTTCGACGAATAATTGTTACTTAAATAAAAAAAAACAACAAAAAAAAACTTACAAAATTAAAAATATATTAAATTCTTCACAGTCTCACGATATCTCAATGTTGTTTATATTATCTTTGCATGTCTATCAACTAATTGCTCTTTCTTAAAAATGTCAACTGGCTAATATTAGATTGTTACTCGTTTCTAAAGTCCCGCTCCTTATCACGCCACCTAATGTGGCCTACTAAAGTTCCGGTTTACACAGTTCAAATGCTTCGCTACCTTAATTCCTGATTGTGTCTGTTAGCGATAATGCAAAGCTCACATCCCTTGTGGTCGTTTGAGCAGCCTGGCCCCATTACACTCTGCGCATGTCTGGATGCGTTGATGTCATCGTGCTGTACCACATGCGTTGGTGAGAGCAAGCTAATGTGATATAAATACGAAATCTCACATATCTGCATGTCTGCAGATATTGTACCAATTTAAACTGAGTCCCGCCTTGCCCTCTCATAGTTGCAGCGCCAAGCCAGATTCGTAATTGCGTCGTGAAGGCTGAAGGGGGAGGTATCGATGCTCACAGAGTTAATTTTGGTAATGGTTTTGTCATCCAAATAAAACCATAAAATTATTAAAATAGAAAAGTCTAAAAACGAGTCAGTAAACAGATTTTGAAGAGACCTCTTCCATTTGGATGGAAGTTTTCTAAAGAACGAAGCAATTTCATTGGTCTGAACACAAACTGATCAATGTTATACTATATAGAGCCAATAAAATTCACTGTTCAGAAAGCTGTGTTAGTTATAGTTAATGCTCTTAAATCGTAACTCGTATGACTGTTTCAGCTCATTCTAGAATCGATTTCTTGGGTTTGCAAGGATTTTTAATTTCTCGTTGAAGACAACGTACTGGCAATCACACTATGTAAGTATTTGAAAAAATCTTTCCATTTGTTGTTGCTGTCATCACTTCCTGCTTGCTAATGATAACATAATGCATGAGTCAAAATGTCATCCGGAAAATATCAAAATTCAGTTTTAGGCATCTCACTCGATATAACAAATTTTTGAAGGGATTTAAATTTTGTAGATGGGAATTTCGAGTGGAATTTTTATACATTTATTAGCCCTAACCTGGTAGTTAACTTATTAACTTTCTAATGGATAGAGAACAAAGGGTAAAAGTAAAACAATCACGGGGTTGTTTTGAGAATGGCATGGGGTTTATACATCAGGAGTTCCACTGGCACAAGGAACTAAACTCGGCCCTTGGGCTTGGCTGTTTATTCTGATGATCAACGATCTCAGACCATGTGCTACCGATTACTGGAAATATACTGATGATACAACGACCTCTGAAGTAGTTGAGAGTCTATAAGAGACATACTCACTCCACCATACAAGAAAGTGTAAATTATATACAACAATGGTCGATTGGCAACCGTTTGCAACTTAATGGCACCAAATGTAAAGAGTTACGTATACACTTTGGAAGGGACGCATTAGATTTTTCGAATATCCGTGTCAACGGCAGTAATTTAGAAATTGTTAATCATGTCAAAATCGTGGCTCTAACGATTAGTAACGATCAATCGTAGCATATCAACAATATCGTTAAGAAGGCCAACTGCAAGCGGATTTATTTTATGCAGGGCCGCCGAGCGGGGGGGGGGGGCAGGGAAAATTGCCCCGGGCCCCGAGGTGCTGGGGGCCTCTGAAAATTTTTTGTTATTAGGCCCCAGTCTTTTTTGTGTGTTAAATATTTCCGCGCAAAGGACAAGATATTTGTTTTCTTGATACAGTATGTTATTACATAGAATAATTAAATGTGTAAATTACGTACGTAATTCAGCCATGGCTGCGATGTAATTTTTAATAAACCTATCTATCTAGGTTATGATTATGATTAAATGATATGATTAATGATTACGGTTATTATTATGATTATATAGGAAGAAACGTTACTCTCTCTATTTGATTGGCATCTTGGTCATCGAAATTCCCTTTCTCCTCGCCTTCGCTGGGTGGCTTCGGTTGTTTCAAACCAACGTAGAACACCCCCAACTTATTCAAAATCAAGACTTGTTTCAGATTCTGTTGCCACGTACAAAGCAAAAAGGGACGAATCAAACGTCTGTGCAACAGTATCGTACCAAATTCGAAGGACTGGATGTTCAAGATTTTCTTGCCAAAATAGAAGGCGCCGCCGCTCAAAATCTACGAATACATATCACTCACGACCAGCGAACTAAGAAATCACGCGTTGCTATAGATTATACCGAATTAGCTTTTCCAAAAATTATTGACATTTCGAAAACCAGTGGAAGAAATCCATCGAAGAAATATGCTTACGTCCATCATCAATACAATGACCAACTTTCGAAAAACACTCGCGCGTTTATTAGCCTTTGTGCGCAAGCTGGAACAACCGGGCGAAAAGTTGTTAGGCCTTCTGTCAAACAGACAAAACTTAGTTCTGACGAATCCTGGTTTCTTTTGGAAACTTATTACGATGTCAAGTACTTAGACAGCCTGCTAGCAGCCGCTGATTATGCAACTCTTGTGGACATGGCGGAGTACTTGAAGGAATGCCCATCCAACAGCCCGGATCATGTAAGCATATATTTCATTGACAACTCACAAGCATCGATGGGCTTTACTACAGCGACTCTTCGCTTGAAGGAAGATTATTATAAGGCGATTGTAAAAAACACCACTCAAAAAGGTTGGACTGAATGTTCATTTGTTGACAGAGCCATGAAGCGAACTCCTGGAAAACAATACTGCGTGAACGGAGATATTATAAAAGATTGGAAAGTATTTGAAAAAGATATCGTTAAAAATGAAAAGTGTCTTAATATATACTTATGGAGAGGAATAGATGGTGTTACATATCGTTTGAAGTTCAGTGAAGATAATATGAAGTTTTCCTCAATTGATGTTACATATGCGTTGAGACCAGGTCAGCCCGTCGTGAACGAAGTCGAGCGTTTTGCGAAAGATGCCCTTGATGAGAACTATATTGCAGTGTATGTGCGAAGTGAGTTTATGCTACGAGGTTCATCTATGGATTATCTTCGAAAATGTGTTGATTTGGTGCTCGAGGTTTGTATTCGTATTTTGTATTTTCTAGATACAGCACACAACGTATAGGTGAACAAGACGCCTGCTGAGGCGTTCACACTGGCCTCGCGGTTGGTAAAATACCATCGCAACACTTAAAGGTGCTCTACAGTCCGTATGTAAACAAAGCCTTTATTTACATTTTGTGTCCAAAATATTGAGCTTTATTCGACAACTATTTATATTTTCAAGCTTCTAGAGTATAATAAATGATCAAGAAACAATAATCAGGCTTTTCAAGAACCCAAAACATAGTTAAACTGTTTGTATCATAAAAAGTGGGCTCCTTTGTGCACATGCGCAGATCGAACTGTAGATCACCTTTAAAAAATAATTTGAAACATGCAGATGTTCTTCACCTCTTGACCGCTGTCACTTCATGATCACAAACATTCAGAGGACGGCACAATAAAAATCCATACAAAACCAATAGAGTTCAGCGATATATCGAAAAACACAGAAAAGTTCAGGCGCATGCGCAATGAAATATAATAAAACACGTCCCACAATTACAGCGTCTACGATTTGTAACGTAGGTAAACACGAAATTCGTTCTGATTAACATTGTGTAGAATTGGTCCTAATAATAGTCGTGAGCATGTTTTAGCTAAATTGCGCAATCCTGAGCCCACGATGCCGCAATGGAAAGTCACACTTGCGAAAAACAAGAAAAAACCCCCGAAAAATTCCTTGCATTTTCAGCAAGGGCAAATTATGGCACTGGCTGCGGCCAGTGTAATTAGTGCCCGTATTGGAGAAGTGTCCGTATTAGAGAGGAGTCTGTATTAGAAAGGTATATGTACGTATTAGAGAGGTATACGCGTATTACGGTATTAGAGAGATTTACGTATTAGAGAAGTGTCCGTATTAAGGCCTGATTCCACGGGCGCTTTTTCTCGGCGAAATGCGAAATATTTCGCCTGTTTCTTTTGAATTGTGGGCAATCAAGTATCAATAATTTATTCGAGTGGTCGCAATTCAAAAGAAACATGCGAAATATTTCGCATTTCGCCGAGAAAAAGCGCCCGTGGAATCAGGCCTTTAGATAGGTGTACGCATTAAAGACTAGAGAGATGTCCGCAATAGAGAGATGTTCGTGTCAGAGAGGCATGTGCGTATTATAGAGAGACGTTCGTGTCAGAGAGGTGTCCGTATTACAGAGGTGCCCGTGTTAGAGAGGTGTACAGTACGTATCAGAGAGGTGTACATATTACAGATAAGTACGTAATAGCGAGATAGGGAGGTACAGTTCGGCTGTTATTGTTTATAACACGCTTTGTAAATATATTTTACCCACGACAGGTTTTGGTGGCTCTAAAAAGTACCACTGGTTTATCCCATGTTTACGTCGCCACCGATATGGGTGACTACGGTTCCAGTTGGCTTGTGCGCTATCGGAAGAAGCAACACCTAGACGAAAACTTCTTCAAACTTATCCATGATCATATAGTTGAAAAATCCCAAGGGGTGGCTTACATCCCTCCGTCTCACGTACAAGATCGCGGTGTGATAGCCCTGGTTGATATGACTTTGATCTCTAACGCACAGTATCTTATAAGCGCCGGTACGGGAACATTTCAAGCGTGGATTGCAGCGAGGTTCTTACAGAACCATCGTAATGATGAACAGCTATGGTCTAAAATCACTGTGTGTTAAGACCACTTACCTTGAGATGATACTGGATTCAGTAACCATGCCAGAGCGTTTCAGTTCAGCTCACATGTTCACGTGAGGGGGATTTCTGTGTTCATATGACTATTTTTATCTGAGACGAAATTATGCAAACATCTTCAAAATCATTTCTATTGTAATTGAAAAACTTGCACTTTGTATTCTAATAGTGCCTGTATCCATTTGTTAATGTCATTTCTTGTTTGTATGATTCCATTATGCTATTCCATATAAAATAAATCGAATTCGATAGGAAATATTCATCCCGGTCACGAGGGCCGATAAGGTGTTATTATACTCAACTCAAATCCACCTAGAGCAAGAAGGCTGGATCCTTTCTCGAATGAATTGAATAATATACTGGCGTCCAGGGAATGCGGACCTCGCTCAGCTCAGTTCCTGATTCACGCAAAAGTTAAGAGGTTAATTATTCTTTAATCAGAAATTTTGCGTTACACCGTGCCCCTCTGGGCACTCCAGGCCCCCGGTATTTTGCCCCCCCCTTCCCCCCCCCTCTCACCGGCCTGAGAGCAATAAGCGCAGAAGCCCTGGGTACAAGGTTTGGAAAGGAAGAAATTCGTTCATGTCATTAACATCACAAATAAATAACATCGTTCCCAACTTGGCCTTGTAGCTCAGAAGGTAGAGCGTCGTTCTAGAAATGCGAAGGTCGTGGGTTCTATTCCCAGCCGTGGTCAAGTAGAATTAATTTTCTGCTTGCCCGGCTAATACTCGTAGTAATGGTTAGAGCATGGTTACGTGTGCTCTATGGGGGTTAGAGCATGGTCACGTGTGCTCTATGGGCGTGATTAGAGAATCGAAGTCTCCCTATGCATCACCGGTCGTGGTCGTACGTAAGAAGTAATGAAGGATGGTACGAATAGAGTGTGCGTTGACTATCGGAAGCTTAATTGTCTCACGGTTTTCGACCCGGCACCAGGTAATACCGCCGAGGAGATATTTCAGAAGATGGCCAAGAAAAAATATTTCACGAGAATTGATTTGAGCAAAGGGTACTGGCAAATTCCCGTTGGGGAGAAAGATGTTCCCAAGACGGCGTTTGTTACACCGGACGGGACCTGCGAATTTATCAGAATTTATATATCTTATGCAGACTTAAATAATGCTTAATTTAAACATTTTTCTTTGAGTTGTGTATTTGTTCATACAGATAGAAGTTATCTTAAATTCCCATGTGCGGAAGACCTTGTGTTCGATAGGGTGAGATAAGGTGTTAATTTCACGCATCATTAATTCGCGATTTTTTTTTTTAACAGCTTTATTAGGAACTAAATATATTACATTAATAACGTACAAATACAACAAACAAGCAGTTCCTAAACGGGAAAATAGCGAACGGGCCATAAGGGGCCGACCATTTAACTTTTGAGGGTGATTTACTGCTGGCAGGGAATTTTTTTCTGGGATCGTTATGTGCAAGATATTTTTTTTATCCCATCACCATGTACGATTTTTTTTGCCACACTTTCTTTCGCAGCATTTTTTTTCAATAGTTTATACTATTTAGATTCTTTAATTATAGTTAACGTTGAGTTTTCTAGCTTCATGCATTGCTCTTAATAATACATATTGCTATGAGGTATATAATAACATTTGGTTCAGGGCCTTTTTTAAGGATGTGTAACTGGAGAGGACATAATTAACGGGGGATCTGGAGAAGTTCCAGTCGGATTCCAGGGCCGTAGCTAGCATGTATAGTTGGTGTAGGCCAAAAATTTCCGAATGACGAAAATAATTTCCGAATATATCATGGAATACTAAGCCACGAAGGTGTTTGCTATTCGGAAAATGAACACGCAATTTACAAACAAAAATACGCATATTTTACGCAGACATATTACAGAAGCAGTGCGGTAGGGAGCTTTTGTTTATTGGGGGGCAGAAAACGAGGGCCGGAGGCCCGAGGAAATTTTTAAATTTCGAGTCTCTGAAATGCCATTTCCTGGACTTTGGGGAAGTTTTGACAGAATGCTGATGGTCAGAAAAAGCGTTTTCGTATGTCGAAATTTACAATTTGCTTACAATTTATATAATACAATTTATGTAATACAATTTTATAATATTTTCTCTGTTTAACAACTAAAATTCTGTTCTACTATTATTGCCGTAATTTTCTGAATGGCCAACCCGATTTTCTGAATATGTTGATTCTAAAAAAGTTGTACCCAATACCTCCCCCCTCTCTACAGCCCTGTCTGTATCACTGTAGCTACCTACAGCGGCATGATATATATGCATGGTTTAATTAACTAATAAGTATACGTCATAGAGCAGCAGCTCAGGCCATGCTTAACTCCTAGGACTCTGAGACAACTGAGTCGACCACCGAAGGTGCGAGCCTCTAGAGGGGTCTGGGGCATGCCCCCCCCCCCCAGAAAATTTTGGATTTTTTGAAGCTCAGATAAGCTATTTGCAGCATTTTGAGGAATTTTCCAACAAGAAATTAACCTTACACTAGTCCCTGAAAATCAAACCAGCTGATCTTCTCGGACTGGTCAAATCGATTTGCAACCATGCTATTTTGCAACATTTTTTTCCCCACCAAATACTGGGGCAGGATATTTTTTCCCCAGTTTGTTAGTGCAGGTATTTTTTTTTGTTCAGAATAGCCTTGCAGGAAATTTTTTTTCAAAATCACCCCCCCCCCCGCTCCCCCTAATAGCCGGCATGCGAGGCTACCTCCCGATTTAACTTCTGTCGACATTTACAAATTTACATACATTACACAAATTTAAAATCGTTGAAAGCACGTTTACACGCATTCACGCCAAAGTGATAGGACCTATGTTAAAATAATATATTTGTAAGCCAGATAAAACGTCATTTGGTGACATCAATCATATTAAGGGCCCGACCAGTCGTAACGCGTAAACGTGCTTTAACTCCTGTGACAAGCATAATCTCTAACAACTGACCAAGTACAGGTCAAATATGTATGTCAAAAACATTCAATAAAAGTTCATTATAATGATTGATTAAGAAAGTTTTAAATGTGGTGACACTAGTAAAGCTAGCTGCTACGTGTGGCAACTTTGCATATAGAGATTAGAGTTCCATGTATCTTTACAATCCGATTAAAAAAAGAGGCCTGAAATGTAGTTGTTTTACAATGTGGTGTTTTTAAAACAACAGTGGAATTACTACTGAGACGTGTTCGCCCATGAGTGACAAAGTCTTTCAAATTACTACAATAGGCTACGGTTAATTTGAATTTGAAAGGCGAGAGCCAGTCAGCTCCAGTTTCAGATTCGCAGCTCTAGTTTCAGATTGAATCTGGAGCCAGAGGCATGGCGTTCGTGTTCGAATGGCTTTAACTCCACAAAGCCTTCACCCATCCTAACAATATTTTTTTTCATTCTTCTTCAAGAAAAGGACTATCATATAACGCAATCACTGAGTCGCTACTGCTTCTAGATTGCTCTATTAAAACAGCTTGCATAAGTCAAGCAGTGGTGGCGCCAGAAATTTCCCGATGGAGGGGCTATGCAAATTTTTTCATGGTTAATGCACATATCAACGGCCTGCCCTGGGGGTACACCCCCGGGACTTTGAAAAAACATGATTCTAATGCATTAATTCCCCCTCCCTCCCCCGGGAAATGTGTAAGTCAAACTGCCCTCCCCCTGGGGCTTAGAATAAAGTAGTTCATAATATAAATAGCATACAAACAATTAAAAATTCAGGGTGTTAGCTAGCCAATATACTGTCCGTTTGACGGACTCTTCCCAATTGAAATAGTTAAGGGGCTTTCCCAACTGGGTCTACTGGAAGATTTTCATTTTTTCTGATGAGAAAGTGCATTGCATTTGATTTTATATTATTATATCAAAGAACGTTTTATTTACTTTCCATTAACTATTTTCTCAAAATGTATCACGTTTCATGGGAAAATATGCTGTGACATTTGATCACCAAAATATTCGGTATCGGCACCCTGTTGCGTTTAAAGCCCAAATCGCGCAATTTACTATCATTTTTAGCACATAAACCCGAATTTTACCTAGTTATAGTTGACTTTTCCCAAAAGTACGCAAGGCTTTATGCTCTTTGCGATACTCTCTTTATGTCTACATGGCTTGCTTTTTATTCCGCGCAATATATCCTGTGTCACTTTGGCCATGAACTTGAGCGACCGGCCGCGGTATTGATATAGATTATTACTACGGTGAACCCGTGGTTGAAATATACAGCGGCTGTATTCTTTAAAGTATGCGTAAACGACAGAAGTACGCACGGATTCTGAAAGCCTGGAATCCAGTGATCAATATGGTACCAAAATGTTAAAATTTGGCGTAATATTTCCTGTGTCATTTCGGCGATTTGTGTTAGCAATGTTTTGGTCGACAGGGCTAATATCTAGTTGTTTATGGCTCGGATTACTCTTCTGGCGTTTACCGATGCAGTAAGCGACGATGAATTTGGCGAAGAAGGCTCGTGGGAAAGCAATTCGAATAAAGAAGACCTTCCTAATTAATTTTAACATTCCTATGAATAAGTAATAAGTATGTATTATATCTTTATATGACATTATATAGCATGTATATTCCCGAAAAATCGTCGCGCGACGCAGCTGTAAGCGACGTTTATAATGATTCACAATATCTCGTCAATTAATACATAAAATAGAACAGTATATAAGTCAACAGGCAGATAAGTAATGTATTTTGTGCAGTGTAATATGTTTGTAGTGTGATACGCGTGAACATGAATGACGCATTGCGCTTTTGGTGTGCGGGTTTGATTGATTGATTGATTGATACTTTATTATCTTTCCCCATAGAGGCTTTTCAAAGACAATTACCTAATTACATGCAGAATAACTAATTTATAATAATTATATAATATTAATAATACAATTACAAGCCTATGCTATATGCGTAAGAACCTAGTTGCTCAAAAACTCATGCAATAACTTCGTCTTCAAACGACGTTTAAAAGAATCAACTGATTCACAAAGTTTTAAAGAAGAGTCTAAAGAATTCCATAGACTAACAATCTTGTAATAAAATGTCCGTTGACCTGTTGCCGTTTTAAATAACGGAATATTAAGTTGTTGTGAATTCCTAGTATGATGGTTAGATACTTCCTGACGCTTTATAAATTGGGATGAAATATAAGCTGGGACACAGCCCGTCATGCACTTAAAAGCCATAGTGGTGCTACGATAGTACAACTGAGTTGCCACAGGAAGCCATCTTAATTCTTTTAAAAGTGGTGTAACATGATCATACTTTCGTGCTCCGCTAACGATACGACAGGCAAAGTTCTGTACAGATTGTAATTTGTTTATGTTTTTGCCAGTTGTATTGGCCCAAACATTCGAACAGTAAAATAACTTGCTGAAGACAAGAGCGTTTATTACAGTGATAAGTGTTTGCCTGTCCAGTACGTGCTTAACACGATTTATCTGACCGAGGCGGGACATACACGAAGAGATCGTCTTAGTTATGTGTTCGTCATAAGAAAGGAGAGGGTCAAGAGTAACTCCTAGATCTTTCACTGTTTTGGAAGGGAATATATTTTTCCCAAGTAGGGATAGGCTAAACTCATTTAGGTCCGCTAATTTGTGTCTACTTCCGAAAACCATGAGCTTTGTCTTTTTTGGATTTAATAAGAGAAGGTTGTTGAAACACCAGTTTCGCACTTTCAAAAGATCCTCATTCATATCTTCAATGGCACCTTGCTTGTTTTGTAGATGGAAGGAAACGCTAAGTTTTGTGTCGTCCACATAGCTGTTAGATTTACATTTCTCTGGAACGGATGGCAAGTCATTAGCATATATGCTAAACAAAAGAGGGCCGAGAATGCTTCCCTGGGGTACACCACTGACCACAGGAAGAAGTTCTGATTTAGTTGAGTGGATCTTTACAACTTGTTTTCTGTTTGAAAGATAACTGCGAAACCAAAGAAGTGTCATATTGGAGACTCCAACATCTTCCAATTTAGATATTAATAATTCATGATCAATGCTGTCGAACGCCTTGCTCATGTCCAAAAAGACTGTAGCAGTAAGCTTCTTTTTGTCTATGGCATTGAGGATGGCATCTGTAGCTTGAATAACAGAAGTTTCGGTGGAGTGCCATTTCTTATTTCCACTCTGGTGTTGCGTTAATCTTTCCTTTTCTAATAAATAGGAAGAAAGCTGATTATAGGCAGCTCGTTCGCAGACTTTCGACAATACAGGTAATAATGAAATAGGTCTATTATTGATCGCTTGTTCATGATCTCCATCTTTAGGAATGGGTGTTACTTCTGCTATTTTCCAAACAGTGGGAAAGGTAGAAGTAACTAGTGAGGAATTAACAATAGATGTAAGTGTAGGCAGTATAGATGTCAGACAGTCTTTTATTACGCGAATGGGAATTTGATCAATTCCTGGGGCTTTATTGGAAGACATTGAGCTTATAATTTGACTAATTTCTTCACTGTCAGTAGTTCTAAATGAAAACTGTTCTGACAATGGGTATTGTCTCGGAATAAAAGACACATCGCGTCGATAACCACATTCGTTTGCCAGCAATTTAATGTCCTCAACTGTGTTTTGACCAACAGAAACAAAAAACTGGTTGAAATCATTCGCTACAGTTTTGTCATCTTTACTAAAGATCGTTTGAGAGGATGACTTGTTAGGGATACAAAGGCGAATAGCTTTCCAGATGTTGTTGGTGTTATTTGGATTCTTGTTAATTTGATCCTTTATAAATTCACGCTCAGCCAGTCTGATTTCAGATCTTACTTTGTATTTCAGGTTTTTATACTCAATCCAAGCTTCAGGGTCGTTCGTTTCCTTAGCTCTCTTTCTCCACCTGTCTCTAGTCTTCATCAGTTCCCGAATGTTCTCAGTTACACATGGGTTAGGTCGACCTCTGATTTTAAACGTTTTTATCGGTGCGTGTTTATCAAGTATATCTATAAACAATGAGTTGAAAGCTTGTAATTTGTCCTCAACATCGTCAAAAGCATCTACTATAGACCACTTTTGACACACTATAGACTTCTTTTTACGAAATAACCACTCATTTTACTTAAAATTCTACTTTTACCCTAATGCTAATTACTCCCTGTTATTTATTAGACGCGTGTATATTAACATATTCGCCAACGCATGGTGTCATCGTTTGCTAAAGTGCGGTTGTTATTTTGACTAATTTTATACTATGTGATCATGACTGAATTTATAGATCTTATTAACTTGTAATATCTATTCCTATCTCTAAAAATTGTTTCGTGTCCTTAGCTTAAAGCTAAGCCATTATACATTAACGTTGTCCTCTACAGATACCCATGCATGTGTGCTGCACTAGCACGTTATTATTATTACGCTTTCCTTCAAACTTTTTGCTCTTGGCCGCAATGAAGAATTTCGACACAAATAAATTATGCAAACTAACTATAAATACTGACAAACACTTTTAAGATCTTGGTTTTAGAAGAAGCTTCACGATTTCCGAGCTTATAGCGATAAAGTAAACTATGTTTTCGAGGGAGGGGGGGGGGGAATTTCCGAAGGGGGGGCATATTTTGGGGGGTGGGGCCAAATTTCCTGCGACACCGGTTCACATAGAAATATTCCGCAGAATATTAATTGGGCCAAGCGAGATAGACTAAGATATCTTTACTGTATATAAGATATTTACATAAAATGTGCAAGTGTGCGTTTGTATATGCTATGCGAAAGCCACATTTAGAATATGAGGTAATTATAATGTTGTCATTTAGCGTGCTATATTTATGTATTGATGTCTGGTACGTAAGCGAACTTGCGTAACGCATGTACTATATTTAATAGTATATTAAGAAATGTGCGTAATACAGTCGCACCTTGCTATAGCTAGTGCAGAAGTGAATAGTGAGTATTAATGTAAATGATTAATTAATGTAATAACATGCGGGAGAACAAGCATAGCGACAAGACCGTGCTTTTCGGAATTTCTTCAAATTTTTTTCTCAGTTTCCCCAGATGAATCTATTAACTTTCCCCGACGGAGGGGCTAGGGCTCCCCGACAGGGGGGCTGTAGCCCCCCCCCCTAGCCCCTCCTTGACGCCACCACTGAAGTCAAGTCGCCAAACCGTGTCGGGTCAATGAAATCTTGAGCAATTAAGACACGGTTAGTTCCTATCTAAATCGCTGTATCGTCGTAAGGAATAAATATAAAGCTATAATAATTTTTTTCATTCTTCACTGATAATTTCCACATCACCTGAAGCATTCGGCTTGCTGTTTTCTCTGGAGGGCTCGCATAAGTTATGTCACCGAACAGCGACATATTGATGGAGACGGCAAACACGCGTGCCGCTTAGCGATTCAAAACGCTCATTCTCCGCCACAAGTTTCTTTATCGTCATAATATTTTTTGCATTCTTTACCCATAATATTGATTGATTGATTGATTGACATCTTTATTTAAAACACGAGGTCCATTTCACAGGTTATGTTATGTACTCTTCAATGGAGACGTGTACCTATACTAGTCGACTAATTACTAATAAAAAAGTATCAAACTATTTACAAAAGTAACAAACTACACATGCAAAGAAACTAATATAAGAGAAATATTAAGATATTTTAGATTTAAACTCAGCGAGAGATTGAACTCTAGTGAGTTCGACGGGTATGTCATTCCATAGGGTAGCTCCTCTGTAGGAAAAACATTTCTTCAAGGATTCCGTTAAGGGTCTTGGTACAAAAAGTTTATGATTAGATCCACGCAAACTATGTTCGTGTATCATTGACGTGGAAGTAAATTTTCCAGACAAATAACTAGGAACCATATTATTAACAGTTTTGTACATAAAAGTTTTGAACTGTTGGGTACGTCTGGTTTCAAGGTTGGTCCAATTCAATGATGTTAAAATGTCTGATGACCGGATGTTATAATCAGATTCAGTAATAATTCTTGCGGCCCTATTCTGTAATCGCTGTAACCTTTGTCCAAGACCCTTACCTAGGCTATCCCAGACAATACTACAATAATCAAAGTAAGGCTGTGCTAAAGAGTTATAGATCATGACAAGAGTTGACTGTGGGAGCAATGGTTTTAGTCTTCGTAGAACTCCAATCACCTTGGAGACTTTGGAGATTATAGTAAAAACATGATGCTCCCATGTCAAACTCTCGTCCAGTTTTAAACCTAAACACTTATAAGATCTAACTCTTTCAATTTTGTTTCCGGCGATAGCAATATTAGGTTCTTCAGGAATAGTACTTAATTTTTGCCTGGATGCCATAAACATACATTTAGTTTTAACCGCATTCAGGCTTAGTTTATTCTGGTTAAGCCAGTTTTGGAGAGTTTTAAGGTCGTCATTTAGAACAGAAATCAACTTGTCAGGGTTGCTGTCCGCAAAAGTCAAGTTGGTATCATCAGCGAATAAACGCCCATCTGATACCAATTCACTATTAGGTAGGTCGTTTATATATATTAAAAACAGTAGTGGACCTAAGATAGATCCCTGAGGAACTCCACAGGTTACTTTACGAGTATCAGATCGTATGTTGTTAATAACTGTTATTTGAGTACGATCAGAAAGATAGTTTCTAAAAAGATCAATCGCTTCTTTGTTGAAACCGTAACAAGCTAACTTCTGTAGTAAAATGTTATGATCAATGGTATCAAAAGCCTTTTTTAAATCAATGAATAAGACAGCATTTATTAACCCACTGTCCATGTTAGTGTACCATTTATCAGTGACATCAAGCATAGCTGTTAACGTTGAGTGAAGAGGTCTAAATCCTGACTGTATGTCAGATAAAAGGTTGTTTTTGTTTAAAAAGGTATATGCTTGGTCAAAGACAACTTTTTCGAAAATTTTTGAAACTACTGGAAGGACTGAAATAGGCCTATAATTATTCAAATCTAGTTATTCGCATCATTTGAGATTATTTTTAAGCTTATACCGATTTAAACTTTGACTGAACAGCTTGCACAAGACGAGTTGTCGAACCGCCACATATTGACACTTACCGCATGTCAGTCGACAAGTCAGCATACTAAAAACGCTCTGTCTCAGCCAAAAACAACCATCTTTTCCAACCGACGAAACCCATAGATATCTTATATACACTAGATAGTGCATCTAATTATCAGTCTGCAATTCAAAAATTGAAGCCTTGATTGCAGTCTCAGGTCGTTCCCATGAAATGAGAAGATTCGTATGTTTTCTGCTTCTTAAACAGGGAACTTAAACATCAAGTTAACCCTATTCCAAATACGTTTTTAAACTATTCAAATGATGAAAGTTATTGTTTTTAAGCGTTTATTAGCAAGTGGGAACGACCAACATTGCCCTAACCCTAACCCTAACGCCATCTATTCAAATGGGGGTAACCGCTGGAATATTTTTGGCTTCAATTTTACTAAAAGAGATGCGCTATCTATAGTGTATATAAGATATCTATGACGAAACCGGACTGCACAAGTGAAGGCGTTTAACTGTGAATGAAACATCTCCCAGGCAACTCGAAAATCATCATAAAAAAAGATAAATTGGGAGGAAATATAAAATCCATATCTATAACTGAAAGAAATGTATTCATCCTTGAGCCCAGATTTTCATCAGTGCAATAAAATCCCACTTATCGGATCCATGTATTCTACAATAAGCTGTCCTGGCTTTTGTCTGGTAAAGTTCTACTATATATTATATTGTGACATAAGTTGGTATTTAGCTACTATCTAGAATAACAAGGAACCGATTCAACCTGGCTTTTCGTGCACATACGTAGTAGTTGACTTTTTCTTTTAGATTTGCTACTGCGCCAGCTAGGGTGCGTTTAAATTAAGCTCCCCCACCAGGGTGCGTTTCAGCTTCTCAGCCATGACCATATATGCATTAACCTTGTCCATGAGAGGGATATACATGTTTATAATATAAGTACTGTGGATCCGAATGAGAATATCGAATGAGTAAATAAATAATGATCTACTGCACTGCGCAGATAATACCTATGTGCATTACCATCATTGTTCTTCAAATATGCCATCGAATCCACTGTCATCGCCATCAAGTTCGAACAATAGGCCACCATCATTGTCATCACCTGACAAATTGTTCTCGTCTGTATTCTGGTCGGGAAAATTTGTGCACTCGCAACAGGAACAAAGACCAGTACACTTCAAATCTGCTTTTTGACAGACACGACGTCTTGTTGAACATCCAACCTCTTGTTGAACATCCAGACTTACAACCACAGTTAGCGTTTCCAGAATTCCATCAGAAGCTGCTGGCATGGTCATCCATCTGATATTGGGCAAGTCCCTTGGTTTACTTCCCAACCAAACTCGCTGATCTAAGGTGACATAACTGGTTGGAGTGCACCTTTTCATATGCGGCATTGATATGATGCATGATCGATTTGTATGAACTAAAGAACGTCAACAAAACGTTGTGCCTGCGAAAAAGAATAATTGAAGTGTACTGATCTTTGTTCCTGCCTCCTGGCATATTTGAAGAACAGTGATGGTAATGCATGTAGGTATTATCTGCGCAATGCAGTGGATCAGTATTTACTGATTTACTCATTCGATATTCTCATTCGGATCCACAGTACTTATATTATTAACACGTATATCCTTCTCATGGACAGGGTTAACAGTATGGTCATGGTTGAGAAGCTGAAACGTACCCTGGTGGAGGAACTGAGACTCACCCTGGCGCAGTAGCAGATCTATAAGAAAAAGTCAACTAGTGTGGGCACGAAAAACCAGGTTGAATCATACCTTGTTATTCTAGATGTGTGTAGAGTGGCTAAATACTAATTTATGTCACACTATATTATATAGTAGAACTTTACCAGACAGAAACCAGGACATCTTATTGTAGAATACACGCAATCTCGTTTTGAGCGCAGGCCCTTGGCCAAGATCCAATAAGTGGGATTTTATTGCATTGATAAAAATCTGGGCTCAAGGATTAATGAAACAATTCTTTCAGTTATAGATAGTTATGATGAAATTATTGATTTTATATTTCCTTCCAATTTTTCTTTTTTCATGATGAAGTTTGAGTTGGTGCCTGGGAGAGGTTTCTTTCACAGTTAAACCTCCTTCACTGGTGCAGTCTGGTTTCATCTCGGTTGGAAAAGATGGTTGGAACGAATGGAAAAGTTGGTCCAAATCCAAGATTGGTATCCATAGAATATACTTTTAAAAGCGATGGATGAAACGCACAATTTAAGAAGCGCCAAACATTGGCAAACATATCTTACGTATTCATTCAATACATTAATGATGATTCAATCAGAGGTTTTCCTAGGAGTTTATATAAATATCCCTTAAAGCCCGGGCAGGGGCCGCGGAATCGGGGAGGCAATGGGGGCATGTTCCCCCCACTTTTTTAAAAAGGGAAAAAAGTGCCCTTTTGGGGGGCTAAAGTGCCCCATTTACAGAACGAAAAAAGTATTTCTTGAATGAACGCCCTCTTTTGCTGGAAAGAAAGTGCCCTTTTGCAGTAGTAAAGACTCTGTAAAGGCCATTTCCGACGTTATAGAGATTCCATATTTTCAAAAATTTTCGTTCGGCTTGTGAACGACATAAAATCGTTTGACTTTGGTCATATACAAAAGTGCTCCTTTTGGCTAATGCCCCTCCACTTTCGAAATGATTCCGCGGCCTCTGAGCCCGGGACAAACTGGGAAAACTAGCAAAGGCTATATTATCCGCACTTTACATTTCGCAACGAAACTTCGGGATATTACTAATTTTGTGATGCTCTTTCAAGCTGTGATGAAATTTTTGTTTAGGCTTGTCTAGATCAAAATTTCACTCATAAGGGGAAAGGTCTATTGATTAATTTTAAGCGGTTACATTATCCATGACAACCGCAAAGAATCATAATTATTACCTATACTCTTTCCTGCAATATATAGTTAATTAAATACGCCTTCGCCCATTTAGTTCTACTAAATTGTAAGCAAATTGTAACAGATTTCGACATACTAAAACTCTATTAACAACTCGAACCGACTTGACCACGTAGCTCAGTTGGCAGAACATTGGACTAGTATCCCAAATATCATACTAAAACTCCGTTTTCTGACCATCAGAATTCTGTCAAAACTTCCCCAAAGTCCAGGAAATGGCATTTCAGAGAATCTAAATTTAAAAATTTCCTCGGGCCTTCGGCCCTCGTTCCCAGCCCTCAATAAAAAAGTCAGAGCTTCCTACGGCACCGCATGCTTCTGTAATATGTCTTTGCGTAAACTATGTGTATTTTGTTTGTAAATTGCATCTTCATTTTCCGGATAGCAAACACCTTCGTGGCTTCGTATGCCATGAAATATTCGGAAATTTTCTTTGTCATTCGGAAATTTTTTGGCCTACCCCCCAACTATAAATGCTAGCTACGGCCCTGATTGGTGCGCGAAACATGGAACGATAACCAATATTTCGAAGAGGGAAAATATCCAGCTTTGGAGGAATATTTTTCCCAATTGTGCACCGTTTCGCTTGGGGAGCAACGGATTCTGATAAAGTAAGTTTTTATCTATTGATTTATGCGAAAATTATGTAGTTCCACGAGGGGTGCAACGGAATCCGTTTTCTAAGCATCTGCATCTTTTGGATGCTCATCCTACAGCCTAAAAGATTTTCACGTTTTGTACACAACGTCTGCCTTCAAGCCGCGACAAGTCGTCCTCGCCAAATTGGCTTAGTAGAAGTCTTCTCAACTATTAACCTCAGTTAATTTAAATTGCAATAAATTCATTCAACAGATAATACAAGTGGTAAACAAAGGGGAAATCCCGCTTACGGGGGGTTGGTCCATGACTTTAGCATACCTAACTTATGCGAGCCCTCCAGAGAAAACTAAAAGCGCTAGAGACAAGCCGATTTTTTAAAATAATGTGTAATTTATCAGGGAAGAATGAAAAATAATATTTAAAGGATATGTTAATTTTTGGCTGAGATAGAGCGTTTTTAGTATGCTGACTTGTCGACTGACCTGCGGTAAGTGTCAATATGTGGCGGTTCGACGACTCGTCTTGTGCAACTGTTCAGTCAAAGTTTAAATCGGTATAAGCTTAAAAATAATCTCATATGATGCGAATATTATGGATAAAGAATGAAAAAAAATATTATGACGATAAAGTAACTTGTGGCGGAGAACGAGCGTTTTAAATCGTTAAGCAGCACGCGTGTTTGCAGTCTCCATCAATATATGTCGCTGTTCGGTGACATAACTTATGCGAGCCCTACAGAGAAAACTAAAAGCGCTACAGACAAGCCGAATGCTTCAGGTGATGTGGAAATTATCAGTGAAGAATGAAAAAAATTATTAAAGCGTTACATTTATTCCTTACGACGATACAGCGATTTAGATAGGAACTAACCGTGTCTTGCTCAAGACAAATTAATTGACACGACACGGTTTGGCGACTTGACTTATGCAAGCTGTTTAGAGCAATCTAGAAGCAGTAGCGACTCAGTGATTGCTTTATATGATAGTCCTTTTCTTGAAGAAGAATGAAAAAAATTATTGTTAGGATGGGTGAAGGCTTTGTGGAGTTAGAGCCAATCGAACACGAACGCCATGCCTCTGGCTGACTGGCTCCAGATTCAATCTGAAACTGGAGCTGCGAATCTGAAACCGGAGCTGACTAAGTGACTGGCTTCTCGTATTTGAAAGGGTGTACATTTTTTTATACACCCTGTGGAGCAAACTAATGAGTTATAAGCCTGATTCTCACATGTCGCTGACGTCGGCGATGCCCATTGTGGTTGATCATTGATGAGTAAAATCTTTTGTCTATGACTATGTTCTTCTTCACTGATCTCAGAAAATGGCATCGCTGACGTCGGCGACGCAAATTTTTTTCCCGTAGACAGTCGGACTCCTCATTGACAGTCGGACGCATCATTGACCCGCGCCCTTAAACAAAACTTTCAGCGGATACTCTTCTTATTAGATGCGCCTTCCCAGTGTGTCTTGCGCACGCAATTGGTGATTTTAAAATATTGTATTGCTTGGTTGAGATGTCAAAATCTGAGCAGGACACATTGTGGCTTCGTATCTTGTGTGGTGATGACATTCGACATATATTCGCCATTCCCACTTGCTTTTCTCTGCTTTTGTAACTCTAGATCTTTGTAAGTTTCATTGTTTTCGATTCCATAATTCTGAAAAAACATTGCAATATTTTCCGGAGAGATTGCAGAATACCCGTCCATTTTTTAAGCTATGTCTTTAAAAACATCATGGATACGATGTATTAATACATCTATATTTATTCTCAATAGATTAATAATAAATAGATTGATAGATTAAAATCCCATGGCCATGATAGACTGGTGGTAAAGGTAGCTGCGAGGCATACAGTGACTTCAGTTAGCATTAATAGATTAAATTGTCATAGTGTTAAAGGGTAGCTCTATATTCTAGTGGATACGCGGATACGCAGTCAAGTAGTTATTTTGAGATTAAGGCGACAGTTAGTTAGCATTAATAGATTAAATTCTCATGCTATAGATAGTTTAAATGTGGTGTAATATGTAAATATGTTCCTCACAACCGGACATTGGTGTTTGACAGATTATGATTAATTAGCGTCGCTGGGAGAAAAAAACTTATATTATAAAGCCAACATGAGCTCCACCTTTGAATTTACTATATGAGTAAATTCTTAAACACGTCCGAATTTATCATTATGATAAATTCGCGGCACATTTTGAATTTATCAATAGAGTTAATCATAAAACCACAATCATTGCACAAGGTTTCTTGTTATAAATCTAATGGCACTAAAAGGGAGGTGGGAAGTTTTTCATGTTTTTTAGGAAAATAGTTTTTAAAAAAGTTTTAAAAAGTTTTAAAAGAGTTTTGAAAAGCAAGAAAAGTTTAAAAAGTTAGATTTTTAAAAAAGTTAAAAAAATTTAAAAAGTTAAAAAAATGAGGGTTAGGGATTAGGGGTTAGTGGTTAGGGGTTAGTGGTTAGGGTTGGGGTTAGGGTTAGGTGCCGCGAATTTATTATTATGATAAATTCAAAATTTCCCGCGAATTTATCATAATGATAAATTTGGACGTGTTTAAGAATTTACTCATATAGTGAATTCAAAGGTGGAGCTCATGCTGTATAAAGCATACTAAACATAATATTAAACATTAAAAGTCTTGCATGATATTTCTTTACAGGGCCGTAGCAACCGGGGGGGCTGGGGGGGCTGCAGCCCCCCCCCCCCAATAATTTGCTAATAATCATTCTTTTTTCAAAATCATGCAAACTTTATCATTTAATCTGTGACAAACTGCAAAGAATGAAGATATTATACTCATACTCCAGATCGTTCCTCGCATAGAAATTTTAGCTGAATTTCTGTCGCGCATTTTCAAGAAAATCCCACAAAATCTGCACATTTTTGATGAACTAATGATTTATTTTGTCTTTTGCGTGTTGGGTCTTGCGAAAGAAAACTCTGAAAATGCCATTTCAGACCATCTAGAGACTCCAGATTTTCGAAATTTTCTCAAATGTTCTGCCTTCGTTTCCGCGCAACTGCCATTTACGACGAAAATTCCCGCCGCGTATTTATAATACTACAGTCTGGCCCATACTTTCCTGTAAATTTCGACATACTAAAACGCTGTTTTCTGACTATCAGAATTCTGTTAAATCTTCCCCCAAAGTCCAGGAAATGGCATTTTAGAGACTCTAAATTTAAAAATTTCCTCGGGCCTTCGGCCCTCGCTTTCAGCCCCCCCCCAATCGAAAAGAGCTTCCTACGGCCCTGCTTTATAGTATCAATTCGTAATATTGTCTTAGTAATTACTAATTAGTTTGTGTATATTAGAACGAGAAAATAAGATCTGGTATATACGTATTCACTATTCAGTGAAATAGTGGCCGGGCTACAAGATTGTTGCCATTAATGAGTTACAGAGAAGCCCGGAATTTTACTGGTATCCCTTTACTAAAAGCAAGGAGAGAAACATTATGCGAACAATTTTTTAAAAAGAATGAGAATAACGATAAACTAAGCGAACTATTGCATCGGCATAAAGCAACAGCAGACTACGATATGCGACCAAGATTCAAGTATAACAATTACCTATGTAGAACTGAACGTTTTAGGAAATCGTTTTTTCCTCAAATTATTTCCAAAGAAAACAGTAAATAACTGAGTAGAAGTATAGGCCTATTGTTTTTTGCTAATTTTGAACTCTTAATATTCTTAATAATGTAATATAACGATAACTTAATACTTTTTAACAGTAGATACAAATTTTATAAATTTCTGATCAAAATCAGTTTTAAATAAATTATTATTATAATTGAAAGATATATTATACTAGTGAACGGGTATTCTGGGATAATTCTATTTGTGGAAAGTGATCTTGATGGTCGCTTTGAATCTTCCAGTATTTCCTTGCACGCTAGTTATCGTAGTTTTCAATTGGGATGATATACCTGTATAGTTTTAACTCGCAATAACAGTTCTTGGGTATTTTCGGAACCAGATCGAAAAACAAGTTTGTAGATTTACATTTACTATGGCATCGCGAAGCAAATCGTTCATCTTTTTACACGTGGTCGAAGAAGAACAACGTGGAGTGATGGATATATGGTGCACCAGTGGGTTACGCAGGGTACGAAGGGATCCACCGATAACGCGCGGAGGCCTGAACGCGGATGAATGATGCGTCCGACTATCAATGAGGAGTCCGACTGTCTACGGAAAAAAAATTTGCGTCGGCGACATATGAGAATCAGGCTATATATATAAATCCACTGTAATTGCTATAGACCGCCGAAATATTGGCTGAGTGGATGTGATCATGGTCTAACTTTGAATTTACTATATGAGTATAAATTGTTAAACACGTCCGAAATTATCAATACAATAAATTCACGACACATGTTGAGCCCTAGCCCCTAACCCTAACATAATCTTAATCTAACCCTGATCTAATCTTTATCTGACACTGATAATCTAAATTTGATGACAATTTTTTTTGGTTTTTTTTAATAACCTATTTATCGAATTTATTGTACTGATAATTCGGACGTGTGTAACAATTCACTCATATAGTAAATTCAAAGGTGGAGCTCATGTTGAATAAATCATACAACCAATGGGAAGGCTCAATTGCAGGAAGTGATTAGCGGTAAACCAATCATATTTATTGTAACAAAATCCTCAAAGTACGTACATGACAAGGTCAAATGTATAAACCAATCACAACGGAGTTTAGAACAGTATTTACCAGGGTCTTCTCTTTTTTCACGTGGCATCACGAAGTAGACCCTGCAGGGGACGAAGTTGTATAGAATTATTAGAATACAATAGTCTAAAAATAACAAATAAACAGATAAGTACACTTCTCATAGTTTTGACAAGACTTCTTCCATTTGGGCGAAGGTTCAGTCTAAAGAACGAAGCAATTTCATTGATCTGAACACAAAACATCGTTACATACTATAGAGCCAATAAAATTCACTGTTCAGAAAGCTGCGTTATATAGTTAATTAATGCTCTTAAATCGTACCTCGTATGATTGTTTCAGCTCATGCTAGAATCGATTTCTTGGGTTTGCAAGAATTTTTGATTTCTTGTTGAAGATAACGTATACTGGCAATCATACCATGTAAGTATTTGAAGAAATCTTTCTATTTGTTGTTGCTTTCATCACTTCCTGCTTGCTAATGATAACATAATGCATGAGTCAAAATATCATCCGGGAAATATTGGGCATCTCTTGTAATCTTAGTGACAGTTTCGTATTGCATCTTAAACTAATTACCTTATCGGAATGTCTGTCCCACGACAGACATTGCGATCATCAAGCACGAATCAACAGCGCCACGACATTCAATATGGCTACATCATTACTATCATTATACCCGTTTTCCCACCGTTTGACGTTCACCTTAAAGGTCCAGACTCACCGGACGCGATTCGACAACACGACGCGATTTTGTAGTTTTTGAAAGTTAATAAAACAGCCAATGAGAGCAAATTTTTAAAAGATATGTAGACCAAATAACTCGAAACGTTATAACGCTTCTAAATATTTGGAAATTTAAACTAGGATCAAAGTTATCGGTCAGTGAAAATCGAAAAATCGCGTCGCGTTGTCGAATAGCGTCCGGTGTGTTTGGACCTTAATGCTGGTCCACGTTGGACCAAAAGGCTTACTCGCTTTGAACGCTTAATCGTTGGCATAAATGTAACCGATGCCCCAGAAAAGAGGGTTGTTATTACACTAAATACGACCAATCCCATAATACGACCACTTTTCATTTCACCGAACGACACCTAACTGGCCTTAACTGATTTTTGTCAGACATCTGTTGATCTGAAGACAACATTAATACGACCACCTCGTTAATACGAGCAACGACCACCTTTTGATGTCCCCAACTCTTTAATACGACCACTTCAAATATACCAACTGAATGCCCCATTGAGCGTTAATGTAGTTGTTGTGAGCAATGGAAAGTTTAAGTGGCAAGGCGATCTTGATCATAGACATAGACATAGTATTTCAAGAATTTGTCGAAGACGTATTAAATATAGAGACCTTAAGATTGACGTTTACGGCAAACGTCAAACCGCTAGCGAAGTTTAGTTGATTTTACAACTCTATTATAATAGCTTTTACAACAGTTTTGAAATATATTAAACAATTATTAAACTTGTGGTGTTTAGCAATGATTTAAGAAAGCAAATTAACCACTGGTCATGTATTCACCGAAGCAGTAAATTAAGATTTGGCGTTTGAAGTTTACGTTTGGCGTATAAAATTTCATGCTTGAACGACTATAAGCCCTCGTAGCCGTTCACTGAGTATGGAATTTATACGCCAAACGTCAACTTCAAACGACAATCTTAATTTGCTGCTTTGGTGAATACATGACTAGTGGTTAATTTGCTTTCTTAAATCATTCCTAAAGAGCACAAGTTTAATAATTGTTTAATTAAATTAACATATTTCAAAACTGGTGTAAAAGCTATATTAAATAATAGAGTTGTACAATCAAAAACTTCGCTAGCGGTTAGACGTTTGCTAGCCTGCGTAGCGGCTATCACGGAGAAAGGACACTACGCAGGCTAACGTTTGCCGTAAACGTCAATCTTAAGGTCTCTAAAGGCTCGTTTACACTTGCAATTTTTGCTGCGATTTCTGGAGCAATTTTCTTCTTCTTATGGATGTGAACGAGTGGATAAGTTATGAATGTTCAGATGAGGATACATGTACTCCGAACATTCGTAACTCATCTACTCGTTCACATGCGTCAGAAGGAGAAATCGCACTAGAAATCGCGGTAAAAATTGCTAGTGTAAACGGGCCTTAAAAGGAAAATGGACTGTTCCTCGGGGTGGTTGTAAGCAAATAAAAATGAGCAACATAAAAATGGATTTGAAAATGGAAGCATATTGCTAGAAGGACCTATGTTTGAGGAATATAGAAGATTTTAGAACAAATAGCAATGATTTCTTCGGATGGCGAGCACAATATGGGTATTCGCACTTTGTTTGCTCTATGCCTATGGTTTACTCTATGAATATATAATATCTCTGAGGACTGTACTCAGTACTCAGTACTCTTTATACAAAAAGTGTAATAATAGTGCATTTTACAGTCAATTTCAGCTGACTTTTCATCGTAAGATTCCGAACTTCGTTCCGAACTTCGCAAATTCGTTGCCAAGTTCAAAAGTTCATAATGAAATTCACAAACAGGTTTGTAAACAAAGCCTCTGATTGGCTATTAAACCAAACCAGCCAATCAAATGCCCAGTTTACAAACCTGTTTGTGAATTTCATTATGAACTTTTGAACTTGGCAACGAATTTGCGAAGTTCGGAACGAAGTTCGGAATCTTACGATGAAAGGTCAGCTGAAATTGACTGTAATATGCGTACTCGATCAAGTATTTGTGAATATATGCTTTTTACGCGTACTCGATCAAAAGTACACGGCTGTCCGCTGTACGCTTTCTAATTCTAAGCGTACTACTAACTACTAGATCAAAAGTAAACGACTGTACGCATATTTTGTGTGCTCGATATAGTTTATACTGTTTATATTCAAAATAGCCATCACATGCATCTAATTAAACTATCATTAATTCCATCGCATCACCTGATCGGAATCGAAATACCCTCGAAATATACTAGTCTACATGCGGCAGCCGGGCAGTGTTAATATGCGAATAAATTCCCAACCTCGCAAGCCAGGGTAATATTTAAGGGGGGCGGTGGTGAATAGGGGTATACAAATCCGCCGATCCGCGCGCAAGTAAAAGACCCTGGCTTGCGAGGTTGATAAATTCCTTCTAATATATTGTGATTTTTGAAGCGAGTCATTTGTTCTTATATTGTGTCCGGGAAAGCGAAACATTTCGCTTGTAGTAACCAATTGGTAACAAGAAGCGAAACTTCTCGCTTCCATACAATCAATGGGCAACAAGAAGCGGAATATTTCGCTTCCATTCCCACAATATGTACTATTGAGTATTGTTGTGTTGACGTGCAAGAAGCGAAACAATTCGCTTCCAAAGACCAATGGGCAACGTAGAAGCGAAATGGTTCGCTTCCGTTCCCACAATATACAGTATCCCTTACAAAACCAAATAATATGGGACATATATGGACCAACTATGGGATTGATATGGTTCAACCTATGGGCCATATATGCAAGTTATATGGCTTTGGTATGGCCTGATTGCCTTCATAGCATACCCATACCATGTTTTTTATATGGGTTTGATACGTATTTGGTACAAATCCATAAATCGAATCTCGCTAACCCTGCTCACCGAATAATAAAACTTCAATAGATTGGTGTATAATTCCTCAATAATTATTTAAAACGGTAACAGATAGTCTCAAATTTAGCGAGATACAAAAGTATGAAATATGGCTAACAATGGCTAACGTTCTCTCTGATCACATAAAACAAACTAACTGCGCAAGCGCAAACAAATGTCAAAACGTCCTATTCCTTCCCTAAGTCAACAATGTAATATATGAAAATCCAATTCACTCCCCCGCAGTTTTGAATAATAATGAAAAACGATAACTTTTGGATTTTCACTGTCTAACCTTGGAGTCCACTTTCAAGTTCCTCTTTGGTCGCAATCAAACATAGTTTGTGAATAGGTCTCTTGTATAAGTTTCCCGCGCTATCCCATATAGTTACACTTGGCACCAAGTTGTCTTGGCTTGGATGAACTTCACGGACGATCCCTTTCTTCCAGAATCCCCTTCGCAGTGTTCCACCTTTTAACCCAGGGTGAAGATTAATAACAAAATCCCCTTCTTTAAGGTTATCTCTATTCTCTAGCTCTAAACCATTTGTTAGGTAACAATAATTGAGGTTGGATATGACGTCACCATGTATCCCAAATCATAGTTACTTGCTTCTCGGCAGGGGTGGAAAAATTTTTTTTCTTTCTGGGAACCTGTGTCAAAGGCTAGAAATTTTCTGTGAAATTTGCAATGTTACAATAACAGAGGTGACAAAACAAATGCATAATTATTGTATTATTTGTATTTTAATAATAATAGGCTTTAGGCTGGTTTTCGTATGCTCGTACATCGCAATGGTTGTCTGTTATATATCACAGTTTAAAGGTATAAATATCATATCATAGTCTGAGTGAGTGTCTGTATTAAATTAATTTATTCTACTTAAATTTAATGTACTGTATTATTTTAATTTATTATTATTTATTATAGTACCGGGTGGCGCAAAAAAAAGTTGCCCTGTGTGATTTGTTTTACTGTAACTTAAAAACTAAAAGAGCTATTACACGTGAACTACGTGCATTGCATTCAGTATATGCCCTGTGCATTTTCGTGCAATATTGACCGAGAGAGCTGCGTTTAAACTTGAGTAACCATTTTTGAAAGTGTCGAGAATTAGCCAAAAACGGCCTATCAAATATTAATACAGCAATAACCTGTTTTTAGACACACTATAGTCAGAAAGTACACGTTCGTTTACAGAGACCTGCCCAACGCCGCCGGTATAACCTCACAAGCATTATTTACCCTTACATATTCTAAACATATCGAAACTCTTTGGTCCTTTGTTAAACGAGGCGTATTTATAAAAAAAAACACGCGAGGTTTCTTTCTTGGAACATTAGAATTTCATTTCCATGCAGGGTCATTGAATATTTAGAATAAATCTTTTAATCAAAATTGCATCATAAGTTAATTTTCATGCATTCGCAAAGACCTTAAAACAAAAATAAAAGAGCACATCCATCCAATAAACATTTTTAATTGAAACTTCACTTCATTGAAACGAATATTTACGATAAAATGGTAACGGTTATCAAATTAGTTTAACAGGTCGTTTTTAGCTAATTCTCGACACTTCCCAAAATGTTTATTCAAATTTAAACTCTCTTGGTCAATATTGCACGAAAATGCACAGGGCGTATATCAAAATTTAAGTTAGACAATACTAAATACAATGCACATAGTTTAGGTGTAATAGCTCTTTTTGTTTTTAAGTTAAAATAAATCAAACGGGGTAACTTTTTTTGCGCCATCCGGTAGTATTATAGCAGTATAATAATAGCATTATAGCACTGGGACTTGTTTACTATTTAATTTGCATTTTATTGGAGACTTTACAGAGCATATATTTACCATTTTACCTATGCCAGGGGTGGGTAACAGAATTAATTTCTGTCAAATATTTAAAAGGCTGCTGATGTTAGTGTGTACACTGTACAGTGTAAATAAAGTAGAATAGTTGTAACTTGTAGGTTGAGCAAACAGAGTTATCTCAAAATGTTGAAATATTTTCTGGAAAACTTTCTGCAAAACTCTCAACTCAAAAAAAATTCTGGGAACTAGCTTCCCAGGTTCCGATACTTTTTCCACCTCTGCTTCTCGGCATGCAACTTTCAACATGTTGCGCGGATTAATTCTTTCTTCGTCTGGCGTTTGAACCACGAATGTTTGTCCATATGGATACAGTAAATTGTTTCCCGAAATACAATTGAAATCCTCTGGATTGCCATCTGGAAAAAGAGGTCGACTGTTAATGAGGTATGTCACCTCTGGAAGTATTGTCGTCCACTGTTCATATGTAAGTTGAGTGTGAGTGTAGTTGAAAACAGACCCGTCTAATGCTTTCCTGACTGAGTTTATAAGTGACTCAACTACACCATTCATGTGAGATGCGGTTGGAACATTGTACATCCATTCAAATTTGGTGCCAAAGCAAGGGTTCTCTTGATCAAATCATTGTCCCATTCTTCTATCCACTCTCTGATTGGTTCTTCAGCTCCAATGAAAGCTCCTCCGCAATCTGAAAATACTAAAGACGGATGAACACCGCGACAAGTTGCGAAACGTCTCCAAGCTCTTCAAAATGAATTGGTATCTTGAGTTAAACACAGTTCAAGATGAATACAACGAGTAGTTGCACAAGTAATGATTAGAACTGAGCCATCCACAGCCACATTTCGTGATTGTTTGACTTTAAGATGTCCGAAGAAATCCATTGCAACGGAAGTAAACGGAGCAAGTTTGGGTTGGATTCGGAATGATGGAAGCTCTCCCATTCTTTGTTGAAGAAACTTTTTCCTTCTGATTCTGCAAAAGAAACAGCGAGCAGCAACAGATTTCAATAACTTTCTTCCTCCGACTATTAGGATTCCTTCCAGGCGAAGATTGGCAATAACGACTCGATAACCTTGATGCTTGAACTTGCGATGACAATGCTCTGCCAAAAGACGAACCAGCTGACTTCCTGCAGGGAGGATAACGGGGTGTTTTAACTCGTCAGGTAGATTTGATTGATCTAATCTTCCTCCACTTCGAAGGACGCCAAAGGCATCCACACGTATATCGTGTTTGAAATACTTTCGTCGAGTCTTCTCCAAGTCCTCATACAAAGATGCTTGACAAAGTTTAATAACAATCTGTTTTGCTGAGCCAAGCTCCTCCACAACGTTGACAGAGCTTTCTTCAACCAGGGCTTCAACGAACGAAAAGGTCTTTTGACATAAAACAATCTTACTCAATGCAACAGTTTCAAGTAAGGGACCGTTCATTATTTACACCCGGGGTTGGTACCGAAGAGATATGGGTTGGGTAATCAAGTTTTTGACTAGCTCATGGGTTGGGTAAAAAAAAATTGTGGCTGTCTGTCAGCTATAAAATAAAACCGAAATTACCATGCATTGGAAAATATGAAGAAAAATGTGCACAATACATTCTGTACCAAAGTAGACTATCAGTGATTGAGTCTGAGTGAGCTTTTAAAATTTAGGCAACTTGATTTCTGTCACCATATAATCTTGTGTGTTTAATTATTAAGTACAGTAACACATGGGTTGGGTAAACATTATTTTGACCAATGTTGAGGTTGGGTAAATAAAAAAATTACAGTGTTTTTCGCTTTTCTTCGGTACCAACCCCAGGTATAAATAATGAACGGTCCCTAAGTCCATCCAGGATGAAAGTTTCTCTGCTAGTCGGGTTCCGAAGTCTTTACTTTCGCTTGTTTCCGTTTGAACGGCATGCACACCCTTTACCCTGCGATACTTCTTTACCTTGGGTTTTGGCTTTTCTAATATTTCGCTGTCGGTTTCAAGCTTGTCATCAAACTTTGTCCAAGAACTCTCGGGCTGTTTGAGAAAATCAGGACCTTGATGCCAATGTTTAAGTGCTTCAACAGGGATCGGTTTTGTTAGGTCATCTGCCGGATTGAGCTTGCTTGGAACGTATCGTAATTCTTCTTTCACATTGCCGTGCGAATCCTGAAATTCTTGAATCCGCGTTGCTACGAACGGGATGAATCTTGAAGACTGTGATGTAAGTCAATAGATAACTACCTTGCTATCAACCCAGAATCGTTTCAATTCGAAATTGTATTTTAGGGCTTTTACAACTTCTTCGACTAGCCTACTCATCGCTATCGCTCCCATTAATTCTTTCTTGGGCGTTGACTTGTGTTTAAGCGGGGCAACAAATTCCTTTGAGGCGACAAAGGTTAGTTTTACTCCATCTGTCGTTTCTCATCTCAGAAATATGCAAGTGCCAAACCCTCGATCTCCTGCGTCTGAAAAAGCATGTAGTTGTGGGAATCCTCTGGCATCCTGGGGGTTTAAGACATCGATCTAATTCCACCTCGGCAAGTTTGTTCATCCCCTCAACGTGCTTCTGCCAAACATCAATGGTTTCTACCGACAGGGGGTCATCCCATTTGAATCCAGCTTCCCAAATGGCTTGTAGATCCATTCGATATTTCATCGTGACAGGCAGAAGGAAGCCAAGAGGATCCCAAAGTTTCATCACCAATCCCAAGACATTCCTTTTCGAAGGCCTTAAAATATCTTTTACAGGGCAGTCTGACAAAATGTCCGATGACGTTGAGTTTGGGTCGGACATATGTCCGATGACCTTCTGTTCAGTTTTGAGACTCGGAAGTAAGTCTGAATGCCGACAAAATGAATATCAGCAGAATGTATTAATTCTGAACGGTAAATGTTGTGAAGATATTAAATAATTTGTTTCTTTCATACTTATTTCCAAGCCAAAATTAGCTTGCTTTCCAGAACAGCAGTAAAGACTTACACAACTTAAGCCCGTTTTCCACTTCACCATTTCGCTCGCCGCCCCGCGCTCGACTACGTTAAAACAAATTTCCAGTTCACCTTTTATACAATAGTACTCTAATTTTCCGGCATTTAACATACGAGCCTCTAGTCCTGGGATAGGGTACATTTTGATTTACGCTGGACAAAGCTACAGGTCGGACAAACAATAAACCTCAGTTTCACTTTGGTCGGACAGAATGTCCGGTGGTTTCCTCTCTACGACGGATAATTTCACGAATGGGTCGGACAGTGTCCGTGACCTACCGATATTTTAAGGCCTGATTTTCGAAAGTTCTGCGCCAGGGAAAACGACTGTTTTCGGTTTCTCCTTAAATGTGTCTTTAAGCTTGTCCCATATGTGACCGAGAAAATCCACCTCGTTCTCTGGCGGATTCTTATCTACAGCTGCGTGATTGGAATTCCAGGCTTTGATAGAGAATTTATCCATTGCTACAATGCTGTCAACCTCCGTAATAGTTCGTTTTGCTTCTTCTGGCTCCGAGACTGAATTCGCAACGTCATCGATATATGTATTTTCTTTCAAAGCTTTTGCACCAATCGGTTGGGCGTTTTCTTTAACATTAGCTAGCATGCGAATGACGAACATGGCGAAATCAGGGCTACAAGTATCCCCAAAGAGAACACGTTTCCACTGAAACGCAAACGGCGCAGAGCAACTTTCATTCCCATATCTCCAAATAAAGCGATGAAACCTTTGATCTGCTTCAGACATCTCGATCTGGTTGAACATTTTAGAAATGTCTCCAGTAACTGCAACCTTTCTTCTCTCCAAGCTAACAGGCATCTGAATAAAGAGTTCGTGAAATTTGGTCCCTTTTCTAATGCATCGTTAAGGCATATACCTTAAAATGGTGATGCTGAATCAAACACCACTCTTAGTTTAGTCGATGACTTGTCCGGTCTTTCAATAATCCTATGGTTTAAGTACAAGTTTAAGTACCAGTACCTTTGAATCTAAGATTCGTACTACTCCACGCTCTACGAGAATGTCCATTTCTCGGTTGTACTCATCTAGCTTTCCATCTCTCACTAATCGTTTCTCTCACTTCTCCATTTGTGCAAATGCTCTATCATAGTTGTTTGGTAGTGCCTCAGGAAACCCGGGTTTCTATGGCATCTGGATCCGAACTCAACTTTCGTCACTAATGGTTGTTGTAGCTTTAACACGTTTTATGAACGCCGTCTCTGTGTCCGAGCAGGTGCAAAATTTAGTAGGCTTCACTCCAAGAATGTCCCCATGGAAAAATCTCTTAGTTGCTGGTCTTCAGACTTGCTAAGAAAATTCACTTTGGCCATTGTAGCGAATCGTGGTTTTAATAGGAGGTTCAACAATGCCACCAAAGAGATAACAACCAAGTTTGGTGAAAGCAATAGAAGGATGTTTGTCTGGATCAGAAGGTGCTTGCAAAACATTTAATGTTTATATGTAAGGTGCATAATCTCTACCTATGAGAAGGTCCACTGGCCCTCCATATGAAGCAATTTGGTCACCATATGGTGTAAGGTATTCATACTCTGCAAACACTTTCGAAGGTATGGGGTTAACATCAAAGCATGGCTTAACTACTGACGATGCGACAATCTTGTACGAGCACTTGTCTTATTTGAGGGGTTTAATTTCTAAGTTAAAATCCTGTGAAAGTTCCTCGTGTACGTTTCCCCCCGCTGTGCCAAACTTAAGGGTACTTGAACCAAGATGAGGTAAACCAAGACAATTAACAAATTGCTTGCGCACTAAAGTGGTATCACTCCCTATGTCAAGAAAGCAATTTGCTCTAATCCAAACACCGTCCGCAGATCTAACATTAACAGCAAGTAAGGGGGAGTAATTAACTTTATCTTGAATATTCTTACTGGTCGCAATTGATCCTGACACTGTATTACCATTATTTGGTGTCACATTTTCGGGCTTAAATTCCCCCACCATTGGATTAAGTGGAGTGGTTTGACCAGTGTCCTTCATTGGGAAGGGGCACAATGTCCTGTGATGCTGTCTCCCACCACATGTAACACACTTACCATCTTCTATCTTCCTGTTGCAATTCTTTGCTATATGCATTCCTAAACATATGAAGCACCTTTGATTTCACTAGTAAATTGTCGTTTATCTTTAACTGATTTTTGCATGTATATTGGACAGTCAACGAATCGATATGCATTCTCACATCCCAAAATGCATTTCTTAGAAGAGTATTGAGTTGGCAAACCTGTTCCCTTCAATTCTTGTTGCAAGACATTGAGATGTGCTCTAGGTGATTTCACAGTATTAATCGGTGAACGACTTGAGAGTCCTAATCGATCTAAAGTAGTTGCTTCGGATCTCAAAAAGTCTGCTAAACTTTCCATAGATTCAACTACCGTGACCCTGTGATTGCCCAAGTTTACACTACGTGGCATAACGTAGAACAGTTTCCTGATCCAATCGATTACAAGCCGGTTCAAAGCAAATGGTGGACATGGCATCTTGTTTTAATCCCAAATCGTCCATCCTTCGAACAAAAAGAGAAATTGCATTTGCTAACTGTCTCATGCTAGAAGCATTCCTTGGGGAGCTCGGTGGTAATGATGGAGTCTGCTTAAAATTTTGAATAATTTCGTGATGGACCGTTGAAGCTGGAATTTGTTTCTCTAATCGCTCCCAGGCACTTTTCATGGATTTACAATCTTGAATTACGGTTTGATACTCTAGTGGCATGGTTCCCCTCTTCAGAAGCCATGTTATTTGAACTTGATCATCACTCATTCGAGCTTGAGACATAGTGTGGGTAAACATATCTTTCCACATGTAGAAATTTGCCTTTTGACCATCCCATGATGGTGGGTCCAAACCTATCAATTTGAGAGGTGTCACTCCAGTTTGTGTTTTTGTACATAGTTCAGTTAGTTTGGTCTGAACCATTGAACTAAAAATAACTGGAACGCTACGTTCAAGCGGAAGTTTGAAGCTAATTTATACAAGGTCGTACACAGGCTTTAAAAGGCCCGTTTTAAAATAAAAGCCCCATTTCCCTTTCGATTCGCATCTTCCCATGAAAACGTTCAAAACGGCATGCTTCGATCACCCCCTTCATTGTCTCGCGAGTAAATCGCGCAGTAGAAACACGCGTGGAAGTGCGTGTCTGGGAGTCAAAACTGGCTTCATGGGAGTCAAATTTTGGCTTCAAAATTTGCATGCGCAGTTTACTGAACGTAGCGTTCCAGTTATTTTTAGTTCAATGGTCTGAACCCCTACTAAAGCATCAGTATAAAGTTCCATCCCTATTGGGCTGTTGGAAGTTTCAGCATGTCCTTGTGTCAAATTGTTTTGTTTCATTGAAGTACAAAGAGCTTCTGCTTCTAGTTCTTGTTGTAAAAGTTGTGATTTTGTCTCCTCCTTGTCTGCTAAGAATGATGTACTTTCTCCCTGTTCGTCTAAGAATAGATTTGATTCCCGTAATAAATCTTCCATCTGTTGATTAAAATCCAAAGATTTCGAAATTTGAACGTCCAAATTTCAAGACTGGATAGTTTATCTTCCCTGACACTTTCCAATTTTGATAACTGATTTAACCGATTAAATAAAGAGGTTACCCTGCCTTTGTGTGCCGTACGGCTCCGTTTAAGGGGGAGCTTCACCCCAATAGACCTTTCCCCTTATAACCAAAATTTTGATCTAGGCAAGTTTAGACAAATATTTCATCACAGCTTGAAAGAGCATCACAAAATTAGTAATATTCCAAAGTTTCGTTGCGAAATGTTGTAAAATGAGGAAAATAGAGCCTTGTGAAGTTTGCAATTTTCAGTCATTTTGCATTACAAACGGGAAATTGCAGCCCCAACACCCGAATCGGATGTCAATTTCCCGTTTGTAATACAAAATGACTGAAAAACGGCAAACTTCGCAAGGCCATATTATCCGCATTTTACAAGATTTTGCAACAAAACTTTGGAATATTACTAATTTTGTGATGCTCTTTCAAGCTGTGATGAAATTTTTGTCTAGATCGAAATTTTAGTTATAAGGGGAAAGGTCCATTGTACTTCAAAATGGACAAAACTTTAACAATTGTTAGGAGGCATATTTTTAAGCAAAATATGCATGAACTATATATTCTTAGAAACTAGAGATCTTCAGCTATCAGCTGAGACAAAATATTTTCCAGTTTCGTGTATCGGACTGAAATTTGACAGCAAAGAAGTGAGTAGTATATGGAAAACTGGATTTTACAGGCCACTTTTGCCCCCCCCCC